GCAAAAAATGTTTTTCCTTTGCAATTTTCGCGTAAAATCAAATATAAAAAAATTCCTTTTGTAAACTTAATCCTGAGACATACTGTATAAAAATTTCAAAGTTATGAGAACTTAAATATTGCACTTCGACTATTTATTTCTGTTGAAAAAATAATTTTCCAAGTTTAACTTTTTTGTACCTTTACTAAATAATTATGAAAAAACATATACAAGATCATCAGTAACATTATACAGACTTAAAAAAAACGTCAAATGTGAAAAAATAAATGTTTTTTAACATTTTTCCAGGTTCTTGAAATTTTTCTCTGGGGCGCGATTTCTGTCAGATTGCTGTGGACAATACAAATCTGTTCAATTACTAGGCAACGTAATAAACTAGTTTTCACTGTTACTTAGCAACTATCCAAATAAATCAAATTTGTTCAGTAACTAAGCAACGGAAGAGACAAATAAATTTTTGTTACCTAGCAACTATCCAGAGAGTTGTCCCACAGCAACTTGATTTTCTTTATTTACCTCTCAGACAGCTCGAGAAATCGTTTGCCGGCACGAATCCGTCCTTGCAGACGCATTTTCCCTCTTTTCCACATTCGGAATAACTCAAATTACACTTTTCCGAGTTGTCACAGTCCTGTCCTATAATATTGAGTTTTTCGCACACGTAGAATTCTTTTCCGCAATAGCAGAAATGATTGAGACACGTTGCGTTTTTGAGATATGAGCAATTGTTGTTATCGCGACACGAAATCAACCCTAAAAATCGATTTGTTTCGACACCGTTTGTGTTTTATCTAAACGACGAAACGCTTGACACTTTAACGATGCCAAAGGTCTCGTAAATTATTGTTGTTGGATGATAAATACTTACAGACCAAATTAGATTTTGATATTTCAATTATTGAAAGCAATAGAACGATGATGACACAAACGAGTTTCATTTCGAACATGAATGAGTGTTATGATAACGATTTACGGATTTATAGCCAATTCATATCTGTTTCCTGAGGAAATATCGGGGGAAAAACCGCATTTTTCCCAACATTTGTGCACAATTTTTTAGTGTCATGCAAATACGTCCTTACGACTCATTTGTCTAATTGACCGCAAACTTCCGATCAATTATCATAATTCATTGCCAAATTAAGATAACCGAAAGTTCACTCACATATCATTCATACAGTTTTGGATAAGTTTAAATTGGTAGCGAGAAGTTCAACAACCAAGAGTTTATTTTATTTGGAGTGCAATTACGAAACTATTTGAGCATTTATTCGCGCTGAAAATAAATCCTTGTAACAAGATCCGATGAATTTTTGCAACGAAACAATGAACATTTTCATTTTACCGATTTATATGCAAAGCGGGTGCGAGTCGCTTGAAGAGAGGATATTTTTAAATCAGAAATTCGCTTGATTATTTAATATTTCTTGTTAATGTTGGTAATAAAACCGGATTTGTTTATAAACAGTGAAAGGCGGCGCCAAAGTGCGTGATTAATGGAGAAAAATCATGGAATTAAATTTGTGCTTCTGGGGTCCTAAATCATTCAATCAAATTGAGACAATTTGTCTAAATTAAAAAATGGGTTATGGATGTCAACTCGATTTAATTTACAACTCGACACTTGTGATTCCCCCAAAACGGATATTTCGTGTCCAAAACAAATCACCTGAGGACCATTAAGAATACAAATGTTTTTCGAAACTTATCCATATGTATCGCATCTGTCCGCATGTCGAGAGAATAGTTTCATGTCTCCTTTATCAATGAATGGATGAATTCAGATTTGAACAGTCGCTCTTTATCACCGTGCTAGCGAGAACGCCAGTTGACTATTTTCAGCTAATTCTATTAAAAAAAGTGCTTGTGGTATTTTTATATTGTTTTAAAGTGACGAAAAACAGGAATTCGAGGTGAGCACTTTGATTTATTTTTTTTGTTTTACGAAAAAAAAAAACGAAAATTAAACAACACGATTGATAAATAAATAAATAATCACTTCCTCAAGACAAAGTAACAAATTGTTCACTGATATCTTTTTTATTTCAGATAAATCACACAAACAAGTCAATTATGATTTACGCAACTCTAATTATAATTCTCCCCATAATTCTAACAGTTTCAGGTATTCACCCCAATGAAAAATCGACAAAAAAACATTTTTTTTTCAGGCTCTGCCCTTCATGGCCCTTGCGAAACCAACGAAAATTGCGGCACTTTGGACACATTTTGTCAAAATGGAACTTGCGTGTGTCGTGACAATTTCCGTGTGTTTGACGATCATTGCGTCCAAAGTAAGACCTTGATTAAAATATTACTCCAAGTGTTTGAACAGCCGTAAAACATATGTGGGTGGGTGGGCTCGAAAAAATACAATTTGTCTTTTATACATAAAAATCGGTAGTAATTCTAATGTATGACAAAACACAAGTGTTTATTTTAATTAGGAAGCAGCAGTTAAAAGCAATTAAGACGATACGACGTGTTGTAAATTATCTGTTAATGGCGGAGCGTCACCAAGAATTTATTTACAAGTCAATTCGCAGACAGCTGACACCTAATTGATTAATTGAATTAAAAACGACCAAATTGAATTACCCGCCAATCGTTGCTATGGTTATTCAACAAATTACCATGGTTACTTGTTCGTTACCAAGGAAACGCAAAACCTCGGCCTTTTTAATTTTTTTTCTCGTTCAAATTACCATAGTTACGAGTTGGTTGCCAAGGAGACAGACGCAAAATCGCGGCAAATTTAAATTATTTTTTTTCTCGTTCAAGTTGCCACTCCTGCGATTCCGTGTGCTCACAAAACAGTTTGCAAGACCTCTCTAGGTCCTAAAGGAATTTGCGTGGATAAACACTGCGCTTGCAGGTCATTCCATCATTTTTTTAATAAACAATGCGTCAAAAGTAAAGGTTTGTTGTTGTTTTTTTTGTTTTGTAAATGTGTTAAATGAGTGATTTTCGCAGGTTTGGATGAGGAATGTGACAGTGATCACCAGTGTTATTGTGGAGAGGACTGTAACGATAAAATTGGTTGTGTAAATAGGATTTGTACGTGTAAAACTGGCTTTAAAATTAAAGGTCGAAGGTGTATTCCAGATCCGAATTTTGTACATGAGAAATCGACAGCTTCGACTAAAATTGTGCTAATTTATGTTAAATTGTTGTCCGTTTTGTATTTTTTAAATATATAATAGATTTTAGCGAGTTTTTGTTTTACCTTGAACTTTTCATTTTGCAATGTTGGCAATTATTTTTTCAGTGCTACCAGTAATTCTAATCTCTATAGTTTGTCCTTGATGTAATTATTTTTATCTATGACATTCATTTCAGTTAATCTTTCAATCTATTATGTCTTTTAATCCCATCATTCAATTTCAAAAACACAAATAATCCCACTTTAAACAAAACTAGATCCCTTCCATTTTTTTTATTATAACGTCCCTTACCTTCTAACTCATTACTTGTGTTATCACTCGTTAAAATGTTAAAACTTTTATCACTTCTGGCTGTTTTGCCATATTTAGGTCACTCATTACCAGGTAAAAAAAAATATTTTTTTTCAAATTATAAACATTTTTTTAGCAACAACTAAAGATGAGATACCGGGTCGCACTGCCCTTGATAATTTTCCACTAATTGATGGGTAAAAAAACACTTGTTTAAAATTCCCCTCACATTATTTTTCCAGCCACAATGACCTGCCTTACAATTTATACTCGAAACTGAAAAACCAAATTGCGAATTTTTCATTCGATTCAGATTTGAGTAAAGACCCAGTTTTCGGTTTCGACGCGTGTAAATCGTGTTTCACGGACTTAGAAAGAGCAAAAACGGGAAAATTAGGAGGACAGGTACTAAAATTTTCAATTTTTGACTCAAATAATAAAAAAAAAAAATAGTTTTGGGTGGCTTATGTGGACTGTAACCCCAGCAATTACAGCACTATTGTGTCACGAAGTTTCGAACAAGTGGATGTTATTCGAAGACTAATAAACCATTTCAGCGATCACATGCAATTCGTTACAACGGCAGATGGTAAATTTATCGAAAAAAAAATTAATTAATTTCACCTAATTTAGGAATTTTGGACGCTTTTAAAAATAAAAAAATCGCAAGTCTTATCGGCCTCGAAGGTGGACATTCAATTGACAATAAAATGGCCCTTTTGCGCCAATTCTACGACGCTGGTGTCCGTTATATGACGTTAACACACACTTGCAATCTTCCATGGTACTTAAAATTTTCAATTTAATTTAATTTAATTGGAATTAATTAGGGCCGATGCGTCCCCAGTCGACGATACCAACAATTCACCGCAAGCAGATTTAACGAAATTTGGTGAGAAAATCGTTTTAGAAATGAATCGACTCGGAATGTTGGTAGACCTGTCACATGTGTCCCATAATGTCATGAGTCGGGCAATTGACGTATCAAAAGCCCCTGTCATTTTCTCACATTCCTCTGCATTTTCCATTCATAATCACCATAGAAACGTACGAGATGACGTTTTAGAGAAAGTTGTAAGTAATAGTTGGTAACACTGGATCACATGATCAGTTTTTCCCCTTTAGAAAACCAATCAAGGAGTCGTTATGGTGAATTTTTATAGCGCTTTTGTCGGGAAAGACAACGTGACGATCGATGATGTCATAAGTATGATAAAATTTGGGGTTTTTGTCATACAATTGTGATTTTTTTAGATCATATCAATCATATTGTCGATATGGCAGGAATCGATTGTGTGGGGATTGGGTCGGACTATGACGGGGTTAGTAGTGTTCCCGTGGGATTAGAGGATGTTTCCAAATATCCCGATTTGTTTGATAAACTTAAAGAAAAAAATCCCCAAAGATGGACTATACCAAATTTGGAAAAGTTGGCCGGAAAAAATCTGTATAGGGTTTTTAAGCGTGTGGAAGAGGTGTGTTGGTTGCACTGTTTTGGCCAATTTTTGATGTTTTTATAGGTTAAAATTGAATTGGCGTCAGTAACACCTGATGAAAGTCTAATTCCTGATGAAGATTTAGAAGAAAATGCTTCGATTGAAATTTTACCGTCATTTATTTCCATTGTAGTATCCGCCATTCTGCTCAAATTGTAATCGAAATAAAGAGTTTTCGCATTTGACTAATTCTTAATTTCAAAAAAAATTACTAATTTTTAAATTTGGCGCCATTTTTCTCCGAGCCACGTAACAAATCTGTGAAATCTGTCATTTTTACGTCAAATATGTCACAACACGTAAACACAAATAATGGCTTAAAACGGTTATTTATCCCGAAATTTGGTTTTCAGAGCGATTTAATGTGAATCCGTGTGTGTAAAAATGCGAAAACGGCATTTTTGGTTATCATTTTTTCTCTTATTGAGTGTCACCCTTGGCGAGGAATTTGAGACAAAACGCGAGGTTTGTTGGTGAATTTTATCAACTTTAATGATAAGAGATTGTAGAAAATCGCCACCACTGAATTGGCACACGAAACCGACGAGCGACTCCTAGTTTTCGCGACTTTAAGCGGCGATTTGGTGGGCGTTGAGTCCCAAACCGGTCGAATCCGATGGAAAATCAAAGACAAACCCATCGTTCAAGTCCCGGTCGACACCACAAACGCCATCATCCCCATTTTTCTACCAGATCCACGAGACGGTTCTTTGTATTTATTGGGGAATAACCGAGAACCGTTAAAAAAACTCCCATTTACCATCCCACAATTGGTGGCATCGTCGCCATGTCGCAGCTCCGATGGTATCTTCTACACGGGGAAAAAGAAAGACACGTGGTTCAAACTCGACCCAATCACCGGTCGAAAAGAACAAGTTTTGGGATGGGACCCCAGTCCCACGTGTCCCATCGAATCAAAAAAATTCGTTTTTATCGGACGCACCAAATACGACATTATGATGGTTGACAGTAATAATAAGTTGCGTAAATGGAACGTCACTTTTTACGATTATACAGCACAAACAATGTCCAAGGAAGAAATGAACAATTACGGTACTGTTTTACTTTCCATGATAATAAATAATTAATTATCACAATCACAGATTTGGTGCATTTTGCGTCGAGTTCAACCGGTCGGTTGGTAACAATGGACCGTCGACGTGGTAACCTCCTATGGGATAGCGATCTGGGAAGTCCCGTCGTGGCTGCATACGTACTTGATTCAGATGGGTTATTAGTGGCCCCATTTACGAGTCTTGCCAATCACACTTTGAATTATTTAACGACGGAATTGTTGAGTCACGTGGGACCCCAACCCCAACGAATGAAACTATAGTAAGTCAAATGTGGAAAAATTCAAATCAAGTAAATTAATCAAATTTTTAGCCCCACTTTGTATGTGGGTGACCACAGGTACGGTCTTTATGCCATTCCGTCGCTCGTCGATCAAAATGTGGTCACTATAACCGCCTCAGATGGGGGACCTTTGCTACTAGGGGGGCCCCATGCGCCTGATTTACCCAAACCCTACCCCGAGTACCCCATCCCGGGATACAACTACCGGCTACCTTCAAGTAATTCGTTACAGTTTTACCAACTTTGTCACTAAATCACAGTTTTAGATATGTATGAAGGGGACCCGATTACGTTTCAAAGCATCCCGAATTTTGTTATTTATGTTGGTCATTATAACGTCCCGAAATACACCGAAACGAAATTCTTATTGGGTGGGAGTAACCCTAAATTTCACCTTCTGACCGATGAAAGTGACTCAAATGAGGCACCGCCCCCAAAATCAATTGGAATTCAAACCGAAGAGAATGAAAAAAAAGCCCAAACCAACCGTTTCAAAACTTACTACAAATCGCTGAAATTGTGGGTAAATCAGCAGGAAAATAAAGGTTTGAAGTTGGTTTTGATCATTTTGGTGGGTTGCGTCATTGCTATGTTTTGGTACTTGCAAGTGCAAGTCCGTGAGTTCCAAAACATGTCCCAGAATGGTTCACGTTCAAGTCAGCAAAACTCCTTTGGTAAAAACTCCTCAATCACCGCATATTCGGAGGAGTTGCCCGATGGGTTGGTTCGTGTGGGTAAAATAACCTTCCATCCGGACCAACTCTTGGGTAAAGGTTGTGAAGGTACTTTTGTGTATCGAGGGGAATTTGATAGTAGACAAGTGGCGGTGAAACGCCTACTTCCCGAATGTTTTACATTCGCCGATCGGGAAGTTGCCCTATTGAGGGAAAGTGATGCTCATCCCAATGTCATAAGGTACTATTGCATGGAACAAGATAGATTGTTTAGGTACATTGCCCTCGAGTTGTGCCAAGCGACTTTAATGGAATACGTGCAAGGGAAATGCGACAGGACGATGATTAAACCATTGGATATCCTCAGACAGGCCACTTCGGGTCTCAGACACTTGCATTCACTCGATATTGGTACGTAAAAAAACGAAAAATTTGAATTTCGCGCGGCAAGATGGAGGATGAGGCAGCGGTGCCAACATAAATCACACTTGCATTTTTTTTCTCATAACGTAATTAAAATTATTAAATTGTTTCTTACCATTGTATCCAAAAATTCGTGCAAAAGACACAAACGATAAGTTCTTTATTTTCACACAGTCACATTAAATGTTCACTAAAGTTTCACAAAAACAATGATTAAGCGAATTTTGGTGTTTTTGTTTGTTAATTTTGCGATTTTGCACATTTTTTCGACACAAAATTGAAACTAACATAACCCCGCTTAATTTTCTTTCGACTAGTTTGTGTCAGTGTTGCCATGTCAAAACATAAAATTCACCAGTTCCGAGTTGAAAAATTTACAAGATTTTCACCAGGATTACGATTTGTATGGCTATATCTCGCGAAAAAACGTAGTTTTCAGTTTAAACTTTTGAAAAAAGCAAATATGATATGCATTTTGGATTAATTTTGTGATTTTTCGGATTGTTTTCAACAAAATTTTGCGAAATAATGCAAGAGAAATGCAAAAATAATATAATTCTAGACTTAATTTCTTGATTTTTTAGTTTGTTTTAGCGAAATCTAGTAAAAAAATTGAGATTTCAATACAAAAACGCGCTTAAAAGCATTTTCAGCTAAATTTTGTGGTTTCTCAGCTTATTTTTGTCTTAATTTTGCTCAAAAACCAGTTAAATCGAGTAAAATAAACAAAATAAATATCAATATCAATCATTTGTGATTTTTTGGACAAGATTTTGCAAAATAATAAACCTCTGCTTCAAAAACGAAGAAAGTTGTGTGAATCAAGCTAAAAATGATATCAATTTCGATTTAATTTTGTAATTTTTTACTCTGTTTCAACGTAATATTTCGAACTTTTTGTGTTTTTATCTCTTAAAGACATACTTAAGCACTCGAAAAAGGCCGTTATTTTGTTGAATTTGTGGCTTGTTTTTAACAAAATTTTGCAAAATAATTGTGTTTCTAGCGGAAAAAGCATTCGAAAAAGACATAAATAAGTTGTCATTTTCGACTCTGTTTAGTAATATCTTGTAAAAAAAACAATTAGAACTATTTTTAACCAATTTTTTCTTCGAGAAAATTTGAGGAAAGAGTTAAAAATATCATAACTTAATTTTTTATAACAATTTAGTAATTTATGAGTCAACTCTCACGAAAAAACTGTTTTCAAATTAAAAAACCTACTTGAACTTTAGAAAAAGGAAAAAATTATATCATTCTCGGCCTAATTCTGTTTTTTGGCTTGTTTTTAACCAATTTTGCGAAATAACTGTGTTTCTAACTGAAAAAGTATTCGAAAAAGACAAAAATAGATTGTCATTTTCAATGCTGTTTAGTAAAATCTTCTAAAAAAGCAAACAAAAACCAATTTGATGTTTTTTTTTCGAATTTTTAAAAAAGTTTGACTTTTGAAGTTTCTGGTTGAAAACGTAGAAAAATGCTTGGAAAACAGTTTTTTTTATTTCCAAAAATCACCAGATTTTTACAAAGTTTTCACCAGATTCGATAACATGAAAATCACCAAATCTGGTGAAATTTCACCACACCTGCCAACACTGTACAGCGTTGCCAGATTTCCACATTTACTTTACATCAAGTTTTTCCTCAAATTTTTGGTAACTCAAGCTCCAGAATCTCTACTAATGTTTTTTTCTAAAATTATTTCAGTCCATCGTGATATTAAGCCCCACAATGTGCTGCTTTCCGTCCCCAATAGTCACGGCGAAGTCAAAGCAATGATCTCAGATTTCGGTTTGTGTAAAAAACTCCAAGTGGGAAGAGTTTCGTTTTCGCGACGGTCCGGAGTGACCGGAACCGACGGTTGGATAGCACCGGAAATGCTCAACGGAAACGAACGAACGGTAAGTTAGAAAAAAAAAAACATCCCTAGACCTAAAAAAAAAACATTCCAGACTTGTGCCGTGGACTTGTTTTCACTCGGTTGCCTTTTTTACTACGTTCTATCGAACGGTTTGCACCCATTCGGGGACAATTTACGACGACAAGCCAACATCTTGAGTGGTGATTATAATTTGGACGATCTTCAAGGCGAAGAATGGCAAATTAATCTCCAGAAACCGTTATTAGCGGCGATGATTTCGTCCAAACCGAACGAAAGGCCTTCTTGTGGTGCTATTTTGAAACATCCCATGTTTTGGGATAGCGGAAAAATTTTAGCTTTTTTCCAAGTAAGAAAAACATTTTTTTCACTTACCTACTTTAATTAATTTTTTTAGGATGTCAGCGATAGGGTCGAAAAAGCCGAAATTGATGACTCAGTTTTACAAAATTTAGAAAAAATGAACTTTACGATTGTTAGAACTGACTGGAGGATGCACATCCATGAAGAAGTCGCCACAGATTTGCGAAAATATCGCTCATATAGAGGAGAATCAGTGCGGGACCTTCTACGAGCACTTAGAAACAAAGTAAGCTATGACGTTTCCATGGTTACAATTATGAAACTCAAATCAGTGTCGAAATGCCCCCAATGACTAGATCATTTTCAGAAACACCACTTTCGGGAGTTGACTAAAGAAGCTCAAACTCTTTTAGGGGAAATCCCTGATTCTTTTACGAACTACTGGACGAAGAGATTTCCGCTTTTATTAGTGCATTCGTGGTTGGCCATGCAATGCGTTTCGGACGAAACAGCCTTTCAGCATTACTACCACGAGACTTACAAATATTCCTATCAGAATTTCTTGCAACAGATTCAGAATTATATCGTCGAAAAGTCCGATTTTTGTGTTGGGATAAAAAATCGACTTTTCGATACAAATTCACGGAAAAATGTGGGACTTTACCGGAATTTAGCACCGGAAGAAGTCGTAGATGTGAACGAAGTGAATGTTACGATAACTGATCGTAGATTTAAGAAAAGTGAAGTACGGATTAGGAGCAAGAAAAGGGCATCGAAACGGGACGAACCCCTAGTCTGGGCCATAAGACAAGATAAATAAGTACAAGTTTGGTAATTTTAAGGAATCACTGTGATAATTGTAGCACTTTGTTTTTAAGGACCAATTAATGTTAATCGTTGCCAAATATATTTTCTATATGGAGTTATTATTGTTTTTATTAGAAACTTTTTTTCTGTGGTAAATCCACAATAGAGACGCTCTTTTTCGTACCAACTGAGGGTACAGTAGCAAGCGTCGGTATTTTTTTAACTGTCAAACTACTAACACTTTCTAAAATTTTCAATATTCGACTTTCTTCACGTTTTCTATCCGCCACATAACGTTCCATATTTTTGCGTACCGCTACGGTTTGTTTACTTTTCTCCAAATATCGATCTTTTGTCTTTTCAATATTGTCCTTCAAAATATTAATTTCCTTGATTGAGCTTTCCATATCGCGCAGTAATTTCGGATTCGTCAGCAAACCAAATTCGAGTCGCATTCTTTTTATCTCATCTCGAAATTTATCTCTCTCACGTTTCAAATACCCCAACTGTTCACGCGCCTGAAAAACATCACTGAAACTTGTGTTGTAAACAAACACTTTTACATCATTAAGTTCCGTATCGGTCACTTGAAGTTCCTCCTTTAATTTCTCAATATCCAAATTTACAACTTGCGATTTCTCACGATTGTGTGCCAAAACCTGAATCGTATCCTTACAATCCAAACGCAATTTCGTCAATTCGGATTCCTTTTCTTCCAAAGTGTCGTACAATTTACGATTGTCCATTTTCAACTGGACGTAATCCATGATACCGTAACCCGGACCCAAATGATCCAAATTCTCATAAGCTAGCGTTTTTTCGTTGAATCGATTACGCAAATTGATGTAAGTCATTCGCAGTTTTATCAAAAGGTTTGCTTGGCTCTTCTGTCGTTTCACAAAACGCTCCGCCATCTAGTCACAAGGGATTTAGTAACCGTTGCTAGGCAACAAAGTACTAACATAGTTAATTGCTAGGCAACAAGGTGCGCTACCATGGCAACGAACGAAATTGCTTAGTAACTGCTGTTACTGTAAAGTAGCCAGTGTTGCCAGATCTGGTGATTTTCATGATTTGGTGAAAAAAATATTCTAATATCTGGTGATTTTTTGGAAATGAAAAAAAACTGCTTTTCGAGCATTTTCCACGTTTTCAACCCGAAAATGGTTTATCTCGTCAAATTCTTTCAAAAAAGTCAAAAAAAATGGTCAAAAATAGTTCTGTTTGTTTTTTACAAGATTTTACCAAACAGAATCGAAAATGACAATCTATTTTTGTCTTTTTCGAATACTTTTTCAGCCAGAAACACAGTTATTTCGTAAAATTTCGTTAAAAAGCATCCAAAAATTCAACAAATTAGACCAAAAAACGTCGTTTTTTGTCCATTTTCAAGTGTTTAAGGGCGTTTTTGAAATAAAAACAAAGAAAATTCTAAAAATTTCGTTCAAGCAGGCAAAAAAAATTAAGAAATTAAATGGAAATTGATTTCATCGTTTTTTGAAACAGAAGTTCATTTATTTTGCAAAATCTTGTCCAAACACGCTTAAAAATATCAAAAACAATTAATATTGATGTTATTTTGTTTGGTTCACTCGATTTAATTGGTTTTTGAGCAAAATAAGATAAAAACAAGCCGATTTTTTTTAAGCACGTTTTTGTACCACAATCTTTGGTTTTTTTGCGAGATTTCGCTAAAACTAACTGAAAAATTAAAATATTAAGTCGAAAATTACATTAATTTGCATTTCTTGAGGATTTTAGTACGTTTTTTAGCTAGAAACCCAATTATTTCGTAGAATTGATAAAAAAACAAGCCAAAAAACATAGAATTAGGACGAAAATGATATAATTTTTTCCTTTTTCGAAGGTTCAAGCAGATTTTTAAGCTGAAAACTGTTTTTTTTTGTGAGAGTTTGCCACAACATGTCAAAAGTCACTAAATTGTTATAAAAAAAGATTATATTATCATATTTTTATTTAACTTAATCATTTCCTCAAATTTTCTCGTAGAAAAAACCATCAAAAAACACCAAATTGGTTAAAAATAATTCTATTTGTTTTTTACGAGATATTACTAAACAGAGTCAAAAATAACAACTTATTTATGTCTTCTTCGAATGCTTTTTTCGCTAGAAATACAATTATTTTGCAAAATTTTGTTAAAAACAAGCCACAAATTCAACAAAATAACGGCGTTTTGGCCTTTTTCGAGCGTTTAAGCATGCTTTTTAGAGATAAAAACACAAAAAGTTCGAAACATTACGTTGAAACAAGGTAAAAAAATTACAAAACTAAATCGAAATTCATCATTTTTTGGCTTGCTTCGCCCGACTTACTTCGTTTTTGAACCAGAGGTTCATTTATTTTGCAAAATCTTGTCCAAACACGTCTAAAAATCACAAAAATGATTGATATTCATGTTTATTATTCGATTTAACTCGTTTTTGAGCAAAATTGAGACAAAAATAAGCTGAGAAACCACAAAATTTGGCCGAAAATGCTTTTAAGCGCGTTTTTGTACTAAAATCTCAAGTTTTTCACTAGAGTTCGCTAAGAGAAACTAAAAAATGAAGAAATTAAGTCTAGAATTATATTATTTTCGCATTTCTCGAGTATTTTAGCACGTTTTTCAGCAATTATTTCGCAGAATTTTGTTGAAAACAAGCCGTAAAATCATAGAATTAAGCCGAAATGCATGTCATTTTTCAACTCGAAACTGGTGAATTTAATGATTTTGATCTGGCAACACTGAACCTTCACCTTGTCGACGTTTGTGCGTCCGGTTCGTTCAAATGTGAGTGTTTTAGCAAATTCCTGTTCCATGTTGATCAAATTCTGGAATAGTGTTTCTAAATCGGCTATTTTAGCGTCACGTTTCGCTGTTAAAACTTTGATTTCTTCATAATTGTATGCTTTTTCACGTTCGCTCAAATCGCACAAATTTTCCAAACTTTCCAAGTCTTTCTGGTATTTTATCATGACTTCGTCCACTTTCGTTGTTAATTCTCTCAAAACGTAAAACATCTAATTTGGTGATTAGAGGGGAAAAAAAAATCAAACGTACTTTACGTCTCATGTAATATTTGGCTAGTCTTGATTGCAAATAGTTGTTTTTGAGTTTCTCTTTATATTTTCTCGTTTCGAATATTTTGTACATTTCGATGTACAGTTTTCTATCAATGTAAATGTCTTCATGGTATTCGTCTTCATCTCTTAGTGTCTCAAAATCTTCGGCTATTGTGGGCATATCTAGCGAGTATTCGCGTTTCGTAAACTCCTCTAAATCATAAAATTGGAAAAAAAAAACTTGATAATTGATAAAAGCACCTGAAACGAAATGAATACTGGACGAAAGTGTTGAGCTTCGCATTCTTCTGATAAAATCCTCCGGGATGGCATAACTAATATCGTCGATTTCCGGAGGAAGGGGGGAGACTTCCCCCGTTTCCGGTTCGGATATTTGTTCCGATTTGCTGCTTCGTGAGGGCGTCGACACTCCGGCTGAAAAATTCGCTCAAAAACTGGTACTCAAAGACAAACACCGACTTTTCCTCGAGGATGCCCCGCTTTTGATCGAACCCAATGTAAACACGTCTTTCGACATTGTCGATTCTTTACTCGCATTTTTCTGCAATAGCGACAAAATCGAGCCTAAACTGACACTCTTGAGTGATAAATCTGCAAAAGTTTGGTGGTGTTTACAGAAGGAGCAAAAATCAACTTGTTACGTTCATCTGTCTCGTCTTTTTTTTTCTCTTCAGAGGTGATTTCCGGGAGAGATACTTTAACTCGGCGTTCTGAAGAGTGGCGTTCGTGGGGGTTTTCGGGCGGCTCGGAGACATCTTCACGGTCGGGTAATTTTGGTGGCGAGTCGAAATTTTCCGACATTGGAATAACTCTACACTAAAGAAGTAAATCTAAGATAAAACTACTTAAACTAGAGCCAAATTTGACATAATTATCACCTATTCTGACCTACTAGATGCCTAATCGTAGTTCAAAAAGTAAAAATTTTCAAAATTGTGAAATTTTAAGTGCGTTTTTCTACAAAACTATAAGACTAAAAACGTCAGAATTTGATTTTAATTCGGGGTTATAGTTCCGGGTTGATTTTTTGGTCAGAATCGGATGATTCTAGCCTTAACTTTGTTATTCAATATCCCAAAAACTACGCATCGTAGAGTATTTAAACTTGTTGTGTCGTGTTTAGCACGTAATTTTACGTCTAGAAAACCATATTTCAACCATATTTAAAGTACTCAAAACTAAAAAAATTCGTAATTTTTTAAACTTGACCCAATAACGTTTTATGCACTTTTCTGCTTACAGAATAGTAATTACTAATTATGATGCGATTCTATGCCCAAAAAGGTCCAATTTTTAAATTACAAAAATATAACCAAACAATTTTTTTAATTCGTCCAAAGACTTTCACGAATCATAATTTAAAAAAAAATCAAGTTTAATTGTGTAGGGTATGCAACCAGTTATACACCATTTGCAAATTTGTATAAAAAATAATAACACAATTGTTTTTGCGAACAAAGGACGTAGAAAGCCCCAATTTTGTGTCCTTTTGTGACCAAACACATTTCAAAGTGGTCATAAAAACTTGAAAAAATATTTGTCTTATTTATTCAAGTGACCACAAAGGTGTTAAAATTGATTTATGAATTAAAAAAAAAACACAAAAACCTCAAGAATTGTATACTTTATTTTGACAAAAAAGAAGAAAAAACGTTCACATAATAATAACATAATCGCTTCAGTGTGTCTTTAAACCACAGCCCCCTTCGGTCAATAAGACAATTCCAAGTCGGGTCAGAAACACATTTTTGACAAAATGATGTCTTGGACAAACTCAAAAAGCAATTAACCAAGAAAATGTCGCCATTTGTCCATTTATTGAAATCGGGGATTCCCCAATTAATCACCTGCTAGATGCGAGACTTAAAAATTATAAGGATATCGGATTAGAGGGGCCAACAAAAATAATAACATAATAGTTCACAAATAATATGTAGGTGATAGACAAAATAAAAAATTAAAATATTGCAAAAATTATTTAAAAATTATAAGCACCATGTCAGACAATGGGTTAATTTTAACGTAAAAAAAATAAATTTAAGTTTTATTTATGTAATTTACACATTTTCCCATAAAAATAGAAGTCAAATTGCTTTAATGTCAAAAACTATTAGATTTTTGACAAAAATCAAGTGGCTGTAGCTGTTTTTGACAACCATAACCTACCCTGTCCTTGCCTATAATAAATGAGTAAGTAAACGAAGAGGCAAGTGAGTTCTTACCATAATTTTTTTAATTATTTATTTTTAAGAGCAAATTAATTATTATTAAAAAGCACCATGATTTGGCAGAAATAAATAATCTTGACCACACATTATTTAGCATGTTTTTGACAATGACATTGAAACATGTCATGAACAATGACACAGTTTTGTTCCTTTACGAAAACGAAAACAAATATTTAACAATATTGTCAAAAAGTGTCAAAAACACTCATTGACAACGTATATTTTTAACCTTGACCTTCACCACTCTACAAAATCGCAATTTCGCCAAGATTCCACGTTGTGAAATCGAAATTTTGGCCCCCTTATCTCAAAATGTCATTTTTTTCCTATCACAACGTCTGAAAATAGCCCCACCATGTGTAATAACACAACACTCAATCCGTTTATTAATCGCAATGACAAAACAAAATAAATGTATGTCGAAACGCCAGTTGTTGACCATTTCGAGTTGCAACTGCAGCACTTTTTCGCAAAGAAAATCGCATTACTCGTTTAAAAATCGACTATTTTCCTCACGTTATCTCGTAATCTCGCGACTTTCGATAATACCACCGTTCGATTTTAAAAGTCTTCGACCTGAATGGCATTTCATTCCAGTCGCTGGTGCATCTAGTCGACTGCTCGCGTGTGTGTGTGTGTGTCTGAGTGCAACCAACACAAAGAAAACACCAAAAGCCACATTTCTACCACAGAAAAGGTAATTTTCCACGATAAATCATAAACGGAAAAACATTAATCACGCAAAAATGACACGAATACCGTTAGGTTTTGAGGTTAGGTCAAGCTGGAATGCGACTCTAACTGGAAAAAGAAAGCTATTATTAGCAACATATGCCACGAAATTGCACCCAATCGTCACTTTTCGCCATTTTGTTTTTGTTTTTTTACTTTATAACTATAGCAACGAGATTTGTTTATGTTTGGAAAAATCCATGGTAACTAAGCCAACTCGATTTGTCTGTAATAATGAGCGTTTCAAGTTCAAGATGATGACCTTTTTATTTCCTCAAATTTCAGATGTTGCGAGTTGAAAGTAACACGAAACTTGAGGGATTCACCGAGTTTGAGGAAGACATCTTGTTCGACGAAGATGATCCCGATTTTCAAGCCGTTCCTCTGATGCTAGGTGAGTCCAAAATGAACACAAAAATTTACTCGTTTGTACCAAAGGGATATTCGTAAAAAAGCGCATTTTTCTCCAAACTGTACTTATCTAAACGTTTTAGTAATTTTTTCGCGTCGGTGGCACAATGTTTCTCATACTCGTTATGAACGGGTAAATTCCCCACGACGCCGAAATAGTGTTTGGCCCTGTAGTACTGCCCCAATTTCAGACACGTCTTTCCCAACAAGTACGTATTTTGTAGATAAAATCGGGGATGTAAGTCTTCAGCTCTTGATAAATACTTGTTGGCTTCCTCGAAACTTGATCTCGGTGCTTCCCCGTATAACAATTTCGCAATGATGCGTTGAAACCACGTGATATTGCTCATTTCGTAACACCACCGACCTGGAATTTTTGAATTTGGCGCCACGGTGTGGGTGCGACGTTGCCGGTTTTTTTACCTAAGAGATACTGGGCTGTGACGTCGTCCGGGTCCAATTCGCAGGTTCTAATGAGGTGGTTTTTGACAATTTCCGAGTTTTTCACTCGATGTTCAAGACCTTTCATTCCGTTTTTGCGGTCGATGATGATAGCGGCCCATTTGTGGATTTTGGGGGAGTTTTCCGCTGTTGTGAGACTACTTTGTATGATTTCGTACGCTTCATCGATCATTTCCCTGCGGATTTCTTCGGTGATTTCGTGTTCGTGGGAGAGTTTGAAGAGGGCACGACCGATTCGCCATTGCACTTCGATGTTGTTGCAAAATTTCAAACGGTTTAATAATTCGTAAACTTGCAAGTATTTGCCTTGGTCGAAGAGGATGTCGGCTTCGGCGATGATCTCGTCGACTGATTTACCAGTCCAGTATTTCGTGACTTTGTCTTCGACATTTGGGGCCGAACCGAAATTCGTTATGGCCTTCAGAAATGTCAAAAATTGTAGTTTTATCACTCGATCGCCGAGATTTCGCAAATTGTCGTGGTGGAAAGAGAAGAGTTTTATTACGTTCACGAGACGTACAGTTAATTTTGACATTTCTCATATTTGTCAATGTTTTTTGTTGTCATAACAATTCAAAACGAACTCTGTGACCCATTTTTTTCCAGTTGGCAACAATGCCTAACTTTTGCAGTGCTACCAACGTCATTTTACACTCCACAAACTCACTTTCACACTGATATTTTTGTTTTATTTCCTCGTTTTTGCGAAAATTGATTTTTTTTTTAAATTAGTGGTGGTAAAACAGGAAACTGACGAATTTCATTTTTGCCTTTTAAAATGCTCTAGACAGCGTTGAAATTAGGATTCGTTTTTGTAAATTATTTCATGCGTATTTTTTTTTATTGAAAGTGGGACTTGAGTTTATTCACAAAAAAACATAATTTGTACTTACTCATCAGTTGAAAATCCATTTCGCAGCCACAAAACTAATCACTGGAGCCACAACACCGAAACTTTTGTTAATTTTTTACACAAATAATTATGAAAATAACCAATTTTTCGACTTTGCAACTCGACGCCATATTGTTAATCTGCCGCCAGTTGTTTTAGGAGTGCCAATCTGATTAAAATTAAATTAAAAAACACCACGAAAATTACTAATTGTTGATTGGTTGACCCGGCTTGGAAAAAAATTGTTTGATTTCTGGAATTTTTCAAAACCAAAACACCGAAACTTTTCTCAAATTTTTCCACAATTTTAAAATCAACCAATTTTTGCTTTAAAAAGCATTTTCGACTTTTGGAACTCGACGCCATCTTATTAGTCTGCCGCCACTTGTTTTAAGGGTGCCAATCTGACAATTAAAAACACGAAAATCACTAATTGTTGATTCAGAGCCGGCTTGGATGTCCATAGTTTTTTTTTTTGTCAAGTCACTCACTAAGCGCTGCCAACTGAGTATCGAAAATCGCGTCCTACTTGAGTGATTGTTTCCCGAGAAAATTCTTATCATTTTCACTTTTCAGGCGCCACTGTTACTCATTTATCTTATCATCTCTCTCATCCTCCATAATTTTGTCGAATTTCCAAAATATTTATTTAAAAACCCCCTTCTGTTTTAGTTATTTCTGTCGCAATTTCCTTGTTGAAAGTTTTTGCCTCCGTCGCGACGCATCGTTTTCACTTGTTTTAGACGCATGAGTCGTGACGTCACCGTTAAAGGTCACCGAATTCAGTCGTTTTCCGACATTGTTCCGAGTCAGTCGCAAGGCAAAAAGCAGTGTTTTTAAACGTAAGTGAGTTTCATTTCTTGCGAAAAACTTTCTCAATAAGTGGGACGCAAGAAAATTGTGTTTTTGGTAAAGTGACGTCCGTTGGCGTCATGAAAACCAGCTATTGTTCTTTTCTACGTAAATAGCAACGCGATTTCAATTAATTTGAATCGTTTGGAATCGATTATTTATTTATAGACTTTGCGATTGCATAGATAATTGTTTTTTTTTTACAACTTTCACACTGAATTTCTAGAAATAATTTCCATAGTGTTTGGCAGGATTAAAGATTAAAGTGATTCACGAGATATACTCGTGATTAATCGTCATTGTGGATAATAATAGGGGTTTAACTGGAATATTGTTGTGCACTTATCTAGTCTATTTATTCTGCAAAAATTCGATTTAGTCATCAACATGGCATAGTTTACAAGCGATGGTGCTCGATATAGTCACGTGATTTGACAACTAACCTCAAACATTAAAAATCGAATGTCAATTACAATTAAATTGGAAACTGGAAAATGACACGCCACTGGACGTTTCATTGTTGCCATGACATTTTTTATTTATAGAGTTTTTGTTACCATAGTTACACACATACGTTGGTTTATTTCCATAGCAACCGTTCCTGAGGCGGCTCGTCTAGGGCGGAAAACGGGACAAATTGTCAATTTGTGGAAAAATCCCAAGTCTCGTTTTCATTATTAAATGTAAATGAGATTAAGCAGTAATTTGAGACATGAGATAAGGTCGTGATTAACCGCAATCGTGAAACGTGATGCAAGAATTCCTGCGATTTTTGCCATCCAAAAGTCATTTTTTGCGTTTGAGGAATGTTGAGTGCGTCGCGACGGCACCGACGCCGGGTCGATAAACCTGCTCTATTTCGTGTTCAATGACCTAAATAGCGATAAATGCAATATTTTATTACCCCACCGTTTCAATCTCGTGATAATTGCGCATTTTGCGTAATAAACTTTGAACCACTAATAAAAAAGTTCGATTTTTCCAGTTCGCAAAAAGATGTCTTTGGCGAGCGTCCATCCTGCTGGACTTCATTCCAATCATAGGTAATTTTTCAGTTTTTCCCCGATTTTTGTAATAATTTTGTTCAGTTCTTTGACGCACAGTTTGGACGATCTGCGCGAGGGCCCCCAAGTGCTGACAATCGAGGAATTGCGTCTCCAGATGACCACCTGTTTCACTTGTGGCGTGTCGTGGAGTGACAGTCATGTGTCACTCGATTGCTCCGAATGCGGGGGCTACGCCCTCGAACGGCCGTGTCCCGAGTGCGAAGGGGGCTGCGGGGCTGTCTGGAAGAGGGATCTCAGCATGTCGCACGCGAGCAGTAAAGCCCGTTGGCAGGGAAAGTGCGAGAAAAACAAGAAAGAGACTAACTCATGACGCCATTTTACCATTTAATGGCCTTTTTCTAATATAATTAAACAGGGTGGACTGATTTATTTATTGGGGAAATTCGATTTGAAAGTCACCCCAAGTTTAGTTATATATTTTTTTTCGACTGAATCTTGGCGCAAAATTTCAAACATCACCTAGAATTCAGCGGTTTAGGTGTGGTTTTGCTTGTTTTATATTAAAACTAAATTTATAAAGTTTAGGCAAATTGTACTTGTATGGAACGTTGATATTATAGATTTTATTCAAATAAATTACATTTCTTTTCCAATGACTGATGTAATAATTGTAAGGTCTTAAATTAATTAAATAAACTTGCCTAGTATTACACGCACATTTTTTCTCCTACCTCCCTCCACTTAACTTATTTTTTTTAATTATTTTTGGCCTTAATTTTGAAAAAAATCAGTAATTTTTGGTTGGCACTCCTGAAATCACTAAACCTGAACAAAACTTCTATAAAATAGATCAATTTTTCTAGTTTTTACATAGTTAAATCGTACTTAAAGTGTTCAATATCACCAACTTAAGCATATTAGTTTAAATGTTGTTTTTTGTGCAAAAAAAGTCATCCAAAATGTACATAACCATCGGTTGGCACTCCTGAAATATCTAACCAGATTAATTGTGAGGTTAGTTTTCCGATTTGTTTAAAATGTGATGGAAGGACCATCGGGCGCTCCACCGCGAAAACCGAAGCCCCACACCGATCACATTTTGCGTAAGAGACAGTCCCAGAAACCCCAATTGGGCAAGACGGTGATTTACGTCAACACGAAGACTCCAATCAAGGTAATTCCAATTTGCGAAATTCTTTATTTCGCGTCTTGTTTCAGGCGTTTCTTGAGCGTTGTTCGAAGTTAATCAGCGAGGGGGAGAAGGAAATCACAATTTATTGTCTGGGGGCTGCCATTCAAAGGGGCACCTTGTTGGCGTTGAAACTGTGTGAGGAGCATGTGGGGTTTCAGATTCACACAAACACTTTCACGACGGAATTAATCGGTGATTTAATTAATCGGGGGGAGAAAATAGTAAATTATTTATTTTAGATGATTTGGAGCCGGCCACTGATGATGCGGATTACGCCCTCCAACGGAGATTTAATTCAGCTCTGAAAATAACAGTTTCTAAACCGGATTTGCTATAATGTTTTTCACATTGGCTGAAATCGTGCGGTGGTTGGGACTCACAGTTTTCGAAATTTGGATCAACTTAATCTCGTTTTTAATTTTTACGATTATTTTAGCCGTGAAATATGACCCTAATGTCGATATTTATAGTAATAACTGGTGGATGATTTTTTTACCATTGTTTGTAGGTGACGCACTTAATACATATTTTTGCGTAATCATTTTTATAAGAATGTTATCGGAAATGACTCTGAGAACGTCACTCTTACGTGTCAGTTGGTCAGGGACTTTTCTATTAATGACTTTCTTGTTCAAGTTTTTGTTATGTAAAAAATTGTTAGGGCAGATTAGTCTTGATTATTCGGAGGTTTTCGCCCCGCTTTATATTCTCCTACAATTAATCGCGGTGCGAGCGTGCCAACAAAGCTAAGAACAAAATAAAACTTATTTATTTTATTTTTGTTTCTCTTTCCTAAGTTCAAACGTCTCAATTGCGCGATAGTGACTTTTGTTATTTTTTGTTTTCCACCAAATGTTGGTAATAAATTGTCAAACACCCAAAACGAAAATTTCTCAAACTTGGGAGTGAAAAAGGTTTCCCGACGCAGTTTTGTTCATTATTTTCACTAGTTTACATTTATCTTTTATTTATGGGAGAAGTGATTTGGGAATTTTAGTTAAAGTTTCGGTAATTTTGAAAATATCTGTTGGCAACACTGCACTAGTGTTTGTTGTGTGTGCTGTTTTGGTGCTTTTTTTATTTTTCTATTAAGATTTTTCAATTTTTACCCGTTTTTTGTGGGTTTTAAGCTCAACTTGCGCTTTGTCAGTGTTTCTGTAGAAAAAATTGGTATTACTTCGTGACTAGAAACTCCCAATTCGCGAAATTATCAAGTTTTAGGTTATGTAGAAATTTTTCGTTTTATTTTCACAATGTCGAGTTCAAAGAGTATAGGAACGCCTGAAGTCCTCATGCAATTGGACCAAAATGAATTGCAGAGCATTAAAGTGAAGATTACGAGAAAAAACTTGGACAAGCCTCTTGTCACGGGGCTTTTGAAGCGGGGCTTGGAAGACCCCGCTGACTTAAAAGTTCATTTAAGACCCGGTAATTGGATTTTTTATAAACGAGACGAAAATTTTTGTATTTTAGTATGTTTTTGTGGTATTGCAAAATTACAGTTTTCTGTAATGGTGGGTAATTTTGTAATTTTGATTCGAATAAAGATTTTTCAGTAAGGAAGAAAGAAATTTTTCAAGACATACGACAAGGACCATCACTTCGATGTAACAATTTGCGTAAAGATAGTCTGAAAATGTGAAAAATGTAAGTTGGTTTTCTAGATAAGTAAATTACTTAATTAGTCGTTTTTTAATTAACATAATTAATTTTAATGTAACGTTCAATAATATTTTAATTTTGAAGTTGATTTTTAATTAAGCATTCTTATTTTTTTTATTCCTCTTATTATGGTCAAGCAAGAATACAAGAAGAAGGAATGGAAGAATAGAAGAGTTTGACACAATAATTCAATTTTAAATTAATGAAATAACTTTTTATTGCTTGTATGTCAAATTTAATTTAATTAAATAACAATTAAATAATGTTAAATGAGATAATTTTGTAAATACTGTTATTTTTTCAAAAGTTTGAATTGCTTTGAATTGGGGGAAAATAAATGAAGGACGAAGAGCAGAAGACAAGAAGCCAAACTTTGAAGATTTATTTGTCCTAATAATAATTTCACAGTAATTTTAAATTAGAATTGAATTGAATTAAACTGATTCAGTAATTAATTCGAGTTGCTTGAGATGATTTTTTGTAATTACTGTATTTTTTTTTCGTAAACTGATGGAAAATGAAGAACAGAAGACAAGACGCCGAAGATGAAGATTTTTCGTTTATTATAATATTTTTTGCTTAGATTTCTTTCGGGTATTTTTGCGAAAAACTGTGAAAAAAACGTTTGATTTCAGGTGAAGGTGTGCGCCCCATTTTCGACCGCGAAGACGTCCGTGTAAATCTCCGATTTAGTGACGACGCACCGGTAAATCCCCCAAAAACCGGAAACGACAAAGCACGGAGCCGAAGTCCCACTAAACGTCGCAGTCCACAGCCGCACACCTCCAGGGATTACCCCAGAAGTCGTGATTACCATTCCCCGAGACATCGGTACTTCCCCACAAAAAAACCCAATTTATTTGTAATTCATTAAATTTCAGACGGAGTAGTTCACGGTCGAAGAAAGTTGTCTACAAGACTTCGCCCCCTCGTTATCGATATAGCAGGTCTCCGAGGCGAAGCCGCGACCGGTCTCCGAGGTACCGCCCGAGGTCGAGGTCCCCCACACACCGGAGACGCAGCAGGAGTCGGTCCCCCTATCGCAGGTCGCGGTATAGCAGATCCCCCGATTATCGACGGTATGAGAGACGCAGCAGGTCCCCCAGGAGGCACAGACAGACCCCCGAGAGGCATGAAATTGCCTATCAGGCTCGAGTACCCCCATATTTAGAAGTAAGTGATTTGGGTCAGTGTTGCCAGTCGTCCAAAAAATTGTACTAGACGACAATGTTGCCAATCTTATATATCAAGTGACTGTAAAATGACAGCACCAAATTTAAAATCTTAATTTGGCAACCTTGACATTCAAATTCAAACGTCAAATTTTTATATGCAATTGTCACTCGTTTGCGACGGCAGATTATTGATTTAGTCGTCACCAATAATTCAGTGTTGCCAATAGAATTTTTTGTCACAAACATTAATCGTCACCCGTCGTATTATTCTTTAAAATATCGTCAAATGTTATTGAAAAATTCAATACTGACAATCTTAATGTGTAAAATTCACCAATTGTCACTTCTACCAACTTAACACTTTTACATATGTTTATTAAAAAAACGAACTTTAGATAATTTATTAATAAAAAAAAAAACGATTTTACGGAAATTAATGGAAGTTTCATTGCTCTCAAATCTGATAACTGACGTTTTAGGGTAAAAGATAGTACCAACACAAAAAAGTGGCAAACACTGGCAAGACTGTTTGAGTTTGTTGGGTTGGTAATAATATTTTTGTAGGCGCCTGAACTTTGGATGCCAGGCCCGAGGATTCCAATAATGCCGCCAATGGCTTTCCCGTATCCCCCTTTGAGACATCCCATGATGTATCGGGGGCCCCCTTTCAGACCTAGGATTATTTATAACAATCCCAGGCCTAGAGTGACACAAGCAATTACGAGTGCGACTGTCACAACAATGACGACGACTGCAACGCCCCAAATTACGGAAAGTGAAGAACAGAAAAATGAAAGTGTAGAGGAACAAAGAACTGATTAAAATAAAGTTGTAAATTGTTTATTTAGAAAAAATGAATCCAGTTGATTTAAAATAAGTTATAAAACACAAGAAAAAAATCATTTGAACGCAACTGTGTCCAACATCGCCCCCAAACACTGTACAATATTATTAGTCATGAGCAAATCGACTTTTTCCTCAAGGTGGCGTTTCGGGTCTTGTTTCCCAACATTTTTAATCGCTAATTGCTCTGGAGTCATTTTTTCTTCCTCTTCCAAAGCTTTGTTATAATTTTTGGCGAGTTCTAAAACATCAGCGACGGTTTTTTCATTAATTCCGCAATTATTTTTATAATCTGCAAGAATTAAGCCATCCATCCATGATTTTTTATGCAGATTGAGTAACATTTTTTGTTCTAATTCATTCTTTCGGTAGTTAATACTAATAGAGTAGTAGTGTCTGTTAAGTCCGTGGATGAGGGCTTGCACTGAGGGTTTCTGCAAGTGCCCCAAATTCGACGTTGTCTGGCGGGGCTCCTGCCCCAAGACCATCATATTAGGGTTAATTAACCTAAAAGCATCGATGACGACTTTCCCCTTGACGGATTGAATGGGGTCCACGACTACGGCCACCGCGCGCTCACTTAGGGCTTCAAACGACTGCTGGGTGTTGATATCCACCCCTGATAACCAGCACCCGAATCCGGGATGGGAGTGGTACCATCCGACTACCATTTCCGGGCGGCCTGTCTGTCGCAACATGTCCAACATTTTGGCCTGGAAAACGGGGTCTACGGCCTCGACACTGACCCCAGTCCCGGTTTGGGGCATCGCAAACACGTCAATGACCCTCACGGTGTAGTCGTCGACGAATTCGCCTAAAGTTTGCAATGAAATTGTGCAAAGTCATGACTTGAACTCACCCAACATCAAACCCATGACTTCCATGGGTACCCCAGCCCTCCCATGTTTCAACATCTTCAAAAGGGCCAAAGACGAGATGTACACTTGCTCGGCCGTGTCCACCACGGGGGCGTCGGACGGTGGGGGCGCCTGAGACAAGCCCGGCATTCCGCCACCCAAACGAAGCAAACGATCCATTCTCTTCAAACACAAATTCAAGTCTGTCAAAAATTGCAAATCATGACAGTTAATTGACATCTGACGGTTGACATACCGGTATTGCAACTCCCTGTGATGGCGAACGAAACGCACAAAACGAGTATTTTGCACGAGAAATACGCAAGTGGGCCCCACGGTTTAGGTAAACCCCGTTCCAGGTGACTTAACTTAACTCGGGGGAAAAATAATTAAGCGTAAAATAAACACGGGTGGTTTAATTACCGACTGAGTTTAGTATGACATTTCAAATGGCGGTAAATTTGAATTGGTTTCAGGGGACCCCGAGGATCGCTCGTTGCGAAGAGTCGAAATCGACGTTATGATCCCGAAAAAAATGCGTGAAATTGCACGAGACGAAAAGTGTACCGACGTTGTTGAAAAATTCACCGAATGTTGCAAAAATAACAGCATATTAATGACTTTTAAATGTCGCAAAGAGAACGCTGCACTGAAACAATGTCTCACTCGTTGGTACGAAGACGAAGATTTCAAAAATCGATGCAAGGAAGAGTATTTAAATGAAAGGAGTGAATACAGAAGGACGGGGGTTACCCAAAAACAGAAACAAAGATTGGCAACTTCAATGTAACTTTTTTATTAGAAAAGTAGTAATAAATTAATTTTGGTCGATTTGGGGGGTCCACCGTTTCATTATTGTTTCCTTGATCGCAAACTTGCTAATATCATTGAAGGAAATTGTATCGGGGGAAATACCGGGGCAAACAATCTCGCAAATCAGCAATTCCTGGAAAAAAAATAAGTACGAGTTTTTCAATGGTTTTACTCACTTTTCGTGCAGTTTCACACAACCGATTCAGACCCATTAAATGGGTTTTTTTCATGGAACGTCTATTTTGACTTTTTATCAGTTTCAAATCCTCGTCAACGACACAAATTATCACGACATAGGACGCATGATAAAAAGGTGGTCCTTGTTTGTATAACACTAAAAAATCAAAAAATCAGTAGGATTTTGACACTTATGCGTGAAATCATTACAAAAATCACCCCCAAATTTAATCCCCGGTTTTACGACCCAATTTTTTGACCTAAAATAATAATACGCAATGTAATTCTGAATGAAATATTTATCACTCTTTTTGAAAACATCCCATAATTGTTGGGGACTTAAACACACTTCATCGTAAACATCGAGACAATTAATTGCAGTTGCAAGAAAAAACGCCTCTTCGAGCCCTAAATTAACACTTTCGCGGATCCCGGTCGAATCAAACTGAAATTCGGGTTTAAAATTCGTAAAATCGGTCTCAAAGTTCGGCAAAATCACAATTTTCTTCGCCTTGTCTTTCGCGTAACGTTTGCGGTTGTCGTAAACCCGTTTGAAGACAATTTCGGGTTGTTTAACCCCAAATTGGGGGTAACTCCGGGACAAGTTCGCTTTCCCGAAATACCCCATCGAAATAACCGTTTTCATGTCATTGGAGTCGTCGAGAGTGACACAAAACCCGTCGAAGAACCCTCTAATCCGGTGCGAGACCACCGGTAATGGGGGGCTTGGTTGCAATTTGCAATTTTTTTTAGGCCGGGGGAGGTTCATTTTGAACTTTGGCGCGCTGTCACACTTGTGCCAACACAACCCGGTTTGTTGTCCCACTCTAGTGCGCACATTAACCGGGTTATTTGTTAGTGTTGGGTTGGTATCGCGTGTCAATAATCACAAGACTTGTCAGGTGTAGCCAAAAAAACACGATTGGGGTTTAGTGTGGTTTTTTCGTGAAAAAGTGCACCGTTTTGTGTGAAAATGTCTTCGGCGCAAGTTCCCGCAGGGGCCGACCCTAAAATCAAAGAAATTATCACTTCGCTGGATGACGAAAAAATAGGTAAAATTGTCATTTCAAGTTGCAAAATTTTCGGTGTAAAGTCACACTCGACGTACCAAAATCGTCCTAAATGATCGAAATTTGTTAAATTCTCGGTAATTTCCCACATTAATTGGGAAAAAGTCAGGTTTAGTACCTCACGTGACACTTGTGACTATCAAACCAGTGGTACCAAACAATTTCAGTTTTTGTTGATATTGGCGAAATTCCCGGTTTTTGTTCACAATGTGGGCGATTTCAGACATGCTGGCGGCGACAAGTGTCTTGCAGCAGCGAGCCACCGACATCCGGGCCCAAAAAGTCAACTGGCAGTCCTATTTCCAGTAAGTGCCCCCTTGTGCCCCCTTTATCCAACTCTCGTTGCGTTTAGGTCGCAGATGATATCGCAGGACGACTACAAATTCATCGCAGCGTTCGACGTGTCCGACAGCGCAAAACGCGAGAAATTACTCCAAACCGATCGCTTGCAATGCGCCCAAACCTTCCTCAACCTCTTGGGACACGTCTCCAAGGACCAGACATTGCAATACATTCTCGTCCTCATCGACGACATGCTGCAGGTGATCCAATCCGGCCTAAACCGGTTTTTTCCACTAAAAAATCAATATTTCCCCAGGAGGACCGCACCCGCGTCGAAATCTTCCACGAATACGCCAGCAAGAAGAAGGAGTCGGTTTGGGGCCCCTTTTTGAACCTGCTCAACCGCCAAGACGGCTTCATCACGAACATGACGTCGAGAATCATCGCGAAAATTGCCTGTTGGTCGCAGACGCCCATGGAACGCTCCGATTTGCACTTTTATCTCACGTGGCTCAAAGACCAGCTCAAAATGCAGGTAATTGGGTGATTCCCCGGCCTGTTTTGAGGCTTAAGGGCAGTTTGTGTTGTGTGTGTGTGTGTTTGTGTCTGGGGGGCTTGGTGACGGCTTAACTCGTCTTGAAAAACACTAAACACTATAGTAGAACGGCTTTCGCTTACACAGTTTTGCCAACGAAAAAACACTTTCGTTTTGTAGTACGATGATTTAGCCGCACAATTGGCCAAATCGGATGCAACAAGGGGGCCGAGTGGTGAACACGCCACTGAAACTTACACCGAAGTTTCGTTCGACGAACAACAAACACCTACCGAAATTACGGTAACTTCATCGAAGCATTTTTGCATTAAAAAAATTAAATTATTATCGTCAAGTTGATGCAACAGGGCTTTTTGGTCGGTGTTGAGACATGTTGCATGACTCGCCATTTACTAATCCATCAATTTACTAACCCTTATTTTGAATTTGGCGCTACAAATATAATTAAGTTACCATGGTAACGAGACTTTCGGGGGCTGGAAATTCAAACAGTGAATTTTTTTTTATTTTGTCGAACAATAAAATTACCATGGCAACGGTGTAATAAGGAGCGGTAAATTTAAACAGTGAAACTTAAAAAGACCGAAAATCTTTTGTTATAGTAATAAATGAGAGATTATAAATAAATAAAAATTTGATTGTAAGTTATTTCAAATTTATACAGTGTGAAACGACAAAAAACACGATTAAAATATGCTCTATATTCTTTTAATGATCATTGCTGATTTTGACGAAACAAAAGACATCACGTGACTTAATTGTGTTTGTTTGTTATCGTTAAATTTGGAGAAAACAATTTCGTTTCTATTTTTTTGAATTTGGCGCTGAACATAATAAAATTACCATGGCAACGGAGGCGGGGTAATAAGGAGCGGTAAATTTAAACACTCAAACTTAAAAAGACCGAATTTTTTTTATTATGGTAATAATAGAGAGATAACAAATAAATAAAAAATTGATAGTTTATAAGTTATTTCAAAGTTATACAGTGTGAAACAACAAAAAACACGATTAAAATTTGCGAAACACATCATGTGACTTAATTGTGTTTGTGATTGAATAATCTAATGGTTCAATAAAGTGTGGGAAATTCAAACAATCAAACTAAAAATACGGAAAATTGCTTGCTATGGTGATAAATGAGAAATTATAAATAAAAAATGGATAGTTTTGTTTGAAATAAGTTATTTAATAAATAAGTTAATTAATTATTTAATTTAATTTCGTTGAAATTTTTCGAATTTGGCGCTGAAGCATAATAGAGTTACCATGGCAACATAGTCTTCAATGCGCGGCAAATTCAAATAGTGAAATCTTAACGACGATGAAAATTATTAATTTTTAAAACGTTTTTTGTGTTTAGAACAACGAATACATCCAGTCGGTGGGTCGTTGTCTCCAAATGATGCTCCGTATCGACGAATACCGCTTCGCTTTCGTCTCTGTGGACGGTATTTCGACCCTTTTGTCGGTGCTTTCCGGTCGTGTCAACTTCCAAGTGCAATACCAGCTGATTTTCTGTCTTTGGGTGTTGACTTTCAATCCATTATTGGCCGAAAAGATGAACAAATTCAATGTGATTCCAATTTTGGCGGATATTTTGAGCGATTCGGTGAAAGAAAAGGTGACTCGTATTATTTTAGCCGTTTTTCGTAATTTGATCGAGAAGCCAGAGGATTCGCAAGTGGCCAAAGAGCACTGTATTGCGATGGTGCAATGCAAGGTGTTGAAACAGTTGAATATCTTCGAGCAGAGGAAGTTTGATGATGAGGATGTGACCGGCGATGTGGAGTTTTTGACCGAGAAGTTGCAAAGTTCCGTTCAAGACTTGAGTTCGTTTGATGAGTATGCAACTGAGGTCAAGTCGGGGAGATTGGAATGGTCTCCAGTGCACAAGAGTAAATTTTGGCGCGAAAATGCCCAAAGACTCAACGAGAAGAATTACGAATTGTTGAGGATTTTGATTCATTTATTGGAGACGAGTAAAGATCCCTTGGTTTTGAGTGTCGCCAGTTATGATATCGGGGAGTACGTCAGGCATTATCCTAGAGGAAAACAGTGAGTTTTTTTTTATGCAAAAAATCAAAATTTTTCATTTTTATTTTCAGTGTTATTGAACAATTGGGGGGGAAACAACTAGTGATGCAATTGTTGGCCCATGAAGACCCCAATGTTCGCTATGAGGCGTTGTTAGCCGTCCAAAAACTGATGGTTCACAATTGGGAGTATTTGGGGAAACAGCTGGAGAAGGAACAGAGTGATAAAACGGCCCCAAAAGGGGGCTCCCAAGTCGCGGGAAAAGCCTAAATTGTTATTGTCTACCTACATTTATTAAATTTCAAGTATTTTATTGTATATATCATTAGAAGAACATTCCGGTTGGAAGAATGTCAGGTGTTAAATATTAGATTTGTTTTATTGTAAATAAATGAGTAGTATATAAAATGTTACTTCTGGATCAGGATATGTGGCGTCTTAAAAAACAAGGCAGAATCCTACAAATTTAGCTGTTTGCCCAAAAGCAAACAACCGAAAAAGGCCTAAAACCTCTCAAAAAGCACCCCAAAAGACCAACAAAAATTGGGCACATGAAAAAACCGTTAAAAATCATCCAAAATTATCTTAAGAGTACTCTAAAAAACTTACAAAATCCGTAGCTTTTAGCATTTTTTTTTTTAAATTTGACGTCGGTTACTACAAGGGGCGTGCCCACGCGGGAAATTCAAACAAGTTTAATAAAAATAACTTTTATTGCAATTAATTAAAGATTATATTTTGGATGGTATTTGTTTGACGTCCCCCACGGCTGCGATGACTTCGATCTCGACTTTGGCCCCCATTGGCAGTTTGCCGACTTGGAAGGTGGACCGTGCGGGATGGTTCTTGGTGAAGAAGTCTTTGTAGACGTCGTTGACAGCCCCAAAGTCGTCGATGTTGTTGAGGAAGATTGTGGTTTTGGCGACTTTCTCGAACGAGGAGCCGGCTTCTTCGAGGATGTGGCCGAGGGACTGCAAGGCTTGGCGGGCCTCGGCCCCCGCGCCCCCATCCACTAGTTTCATGGTGTCCTTGTTCAAGCCTAAGACCCCCGAGACGTACAAGGTCTTGTCCAGGAGGACGGCCTGGCTGGAATTTGCGTCAATTTTAAGATTTTTGTAATGTGGGGACTTACTTGTAGGGGGCCACCGGCTTGGGGGCCTTATTCGTACTGATGATCTTGCGAATAACAGACATTTTCGTGGTTCAAAGTCTAGCAAGTGACTGACACGAGACGGCTTTATCGGTTTGTTTATATCAGAGTTGAGATAATTAGTCACGTGGAAATAAAACTATTAAATAATTGCGTAAGTTTCGACTGTTGCAATTCGTGTAGAAAATTTTAACCCCCTTATTTTCAAATTTACTGAATTTGGCGCCTAAACAATACCATGGCAACGGGACATTATGGGGCGGGAAATTTAAACAGTGCAGTGTGAAAAACGACAAAAAACACGGTTAAAATTTGCTCTATAATTTTAATTTAATTAGTACTTGCAAATCAACACGTCACGTGACTTAATTGTGTTTGTTTGTCATCGATTTAATTTAATTTCGTTCAAAATTTTTGAATTTGGCGCCGAAACATAAGAAAGTTACCATGGTAACACGAGTCAATAGTTTGTTTTCATCAAAATTGGAAATGAAACTATTAAATAATAATGAAATAATTTATTTATGCGTAACTTTCCAGTTGCGTAAGTTTTTGATGTTGCAATTCGTGTAGAAAATTTTGAACCCGTTTGTTTTTTACAAGTCTTTTTTTGTGTTGTAAGTCTTTGTAGGACCTTTGGTAGTAGAAAATACACGCTAAGAGATGCCAGATGCAAAATTCGGGCCACAAAACTTTAGTAAAACTGATGAAACTGTTTGAGATTTGCCACAAAAGGAAATCACTGAATCGCACTTCCCCCGAAGTGCGGACTATTAAATCGGGATCGGGACTGCAATTTGTGTACAGGGCCCCCGAGATCAAGTCTTCGTCGATGTCCTCCACGTCCAGGACTTCGTCTTGCACCCCCTTGACTATCCTTTTCACTGTATTAAAAATCTCGTCTCTAGAAGTGTACGAAAAGGCAACGTTGAGAAACGCCTTGTTATTGTCTTTGGTCATTAACTCCGCTTGCGCTGTTAGTCTCCTCAACTCGGGGGAAAGCAGCCCCAAATTCCCGATAATCCGAATGCACACCCCCTCACTCATAATCTTCTCTTTTTCGTCCAACAATTGTTGGAACTTTTCCGTGGCTAATTTCATCAAAGTGTCGACTTCCTCGCGACTCCGTTTGAAATTCTCGATACTGAAGGCGTAAACGGTCACTTCCTTGACCCCCAATTCCAGACACCATTGCAGGGTCTCGGCCAGTTTATCGAAACCTTTGATGTGGCCTTCGGCCTTCTCGACTTTGTTTTTGGTGGCGTAGCGCCGGTTGCCGTCCATTATGAACGCGATGTGGCGCGGAATAGGGCCGCATTTTATCACATTCACGCAAAAACGCTGGAAATGAGACAACGAGGAGCTCACAATCCACGACATTGTACAGATAACCTCAAAGGGTGACAGGTGACAGGTGCTAGGAAGTGGTTACAGATTGATGTTGATTAAAAATTTGCGGGGGTCAAACATGTGATTTAAAAATTACAAAATAATTGTTTTTGACGAATTTGCGTACTTCCTTGTGATAATTGTGATTATTTTGGTGAAATTGTGACGATGATGTAACTCTAGTCACCGGTCACGTGATAAGAAATGACTTCAGATTGCCAAAACTGCGATTATGTAAAAAAATAGACAAATAGTTATTTCACAATTCCATTGACGTTTCTTTATATTTTGATAATTTCGGAATGTTTTATGTGGTTATTTTTGTTCCCCATGACGTAACTGTGGCCACTTCCGTTTTCAAATCAAATGTTTGTATTGGACATTTGAACTACTCGTGTTATTATTTATTGTTAGTGTTGGAAAAACCCCCAAGAATCGATGAAAACGAATAATTTAGATGTCTAAAATTACCGCAGTTTTAATTGTGCAATGTTGCCGCCCTGAAACAAAACCCTATCGGCCGTTTTTCGGAAAAAAATGACGTTTACGTTAAAAATTGTGTAGCATTAGAATTTGGTGAAAAATTCATCTCATGAGACAATATGAATACTACAACTTTGCGGGGCGTATTCCCCGAACCAAGTAAGTGTTCCCTGCTTCAACAGCCCCCTTTATTTCAATTTCCAGAGCCTGTTCATAGACGCAACTTTGTCCGTGAAAACATCAAGCAGTTGAAGGAGATCCAGGGGTTCATCAAGGAATCGAAAATTCCGTCTCAATCACAGGAAATCAAGCCAAATAAATTCAAACACGTGGCCCCCAAAGTCTACTCGAACATAACAGCGAGGAAACGACTGTCCAAGGATCAGGTGGCGGCGCGGCCCCACTCCTTCAATGAGGTGACACGGCCCCCTCGGGCGCTCTTCTTTGGGAAGAAATTCAGCCCGGAGAAAACCACAACGAGGGGGGTACAGACCGAACGGCCTGAGGATGTGACCAAAATGTACGAAACGGGCCCATTGAAGTATCCTAGTCCGGCAGTGGCGAAAGTGAAATTGTCGCACAGGGGGCGCGACCAAGGAGACGCCCCCTTGGCCCAAAGCATGCAAAAACTAGACTTAGAAGACAAGCAAAATTATATCAAACAAAATATCAAAAATATTAAGGTGAATAAGCAGAAACGGGAGGAGTCTCCAGACCCGACCAAAGCCCCCCCCGAGTACCAGAAAGGTGTGCTCCCCCGATACCTAAAAGAGAAGAAAGTGACCAAAGATGAGAAATCTGGGGTTTTTGAGGAGAATATTTCCGGTTTGGTTTTATTGCCTGACGATGAGAGACGAGAATATTTAAGGGTGGCTCGTGAAAGTGGGTTTTTCCCCCAATTTTGCTCTTATTTAACAATTTTTTGTAGATTACGCCGCCTTGATTAAGGAATTGAACTCGATGCCTGTCAGTAATGACACCCTAAAGAAACGAAAACGCAAAATGGAAATCGAAGACGAATTGAAACGTATCGACGAGGTGATAAAGATTTTCCAAAAACCGAAAGTGTTTGTTAAAGCCGATGCGTGATTGTTTATTTGATTATATGTACAAAATTCTCTTGAATAAATTCGATTTGGTTTAGTCTAAATTTAGGTTCGTCAAGTTGGTACCACTGTTCGATGTTAAACTGGGGGAAAAACAGCCCGATTTCCTTCTTTACCGACTCGGGCGAGTCTGAAACACTGAATCAGATGATTTTTTTTTCGTAAAATTGTCAAACCTGAGCCGTGGGTCGCATTTCGGGTGTCTGACAGTCCGAATTGCCCCCGAATCGAGTCGGGGGCCTCGAATTGGGTCTTGAACACTTTGGTGGGGCCCATGAGTTGGCGCCACTTTCTGATCGCGTCCTCCCGGGCTAGAATGTAGAAGTCGGACGGGCCGCTAGGGGAACCCCCGTTAGTTGTGTATTTCGAACAAATGGGGCTCACCTGGTCATGAATGTGACTAATCGTTTGTAGAAAAATTTCGTTTTGTGTTCGTGGTAAAATGCTTCGGCTTCGTGGAGCTGAATCGCGTGTCTTTTCGATTTGACCACTTTAAAGTTTGAGGTTAGGATCACATTCCGGATTTTTTCTACAGCCAGGGGCTGCTTTATGACGTGGGGCTTCAAAATCGCGAATGTGAGTTCGAGACGATTCATTACAACGTTTTTGAGACAAGTTATGCAATTTTTGAGGTTATGTAACACCAACAAGTTCACCGCCTTTTACTGATAAACGTGAAAATACTAATTTTTTGACATAAAATCATAATTTGATTTGCTAAATAGTTAATTTTGAGTTGGTATAAAGTACAATTGACGTAACAATAAACTTGGGAAACCCCCGATGAAGAAAAAGTCGAAAATTTTGCAGAAAAAAACAGAAAAATTCCTGTTCTATTTTTATTACACGTAATTACTAATTAAACAAAAATATTTTTGTCGCTGTTAAATAAATTTCGTTTTTATACTTTATTTATTTTTATTATTTATTTATCCAACGTTTCCTAGCAACAGGAGCGCAACTCTGGACCGTTGCCTTAGTAACCAGAATTGCCATTGGAAAAAAATTAAATTCACCAGATTTGAGTTGGAAAAGTTGCCACATTTACACTAGATTACAAAATTGTGATTTAAATTATTTTACATAAAAACGTAAACTTCTGACAGTATTCCAAAAAATCATGTAAAAATATGAAAAATATGCAATATGATTTATTTTAGCAAAATCTTGCAAAAAAGCTGAGATCTTAGTTCAAAAACGTGCTTAAAGACTCGAAAAATAATAAAGTGACACCATTTACGACTAAATTTTGCGTTTTTCGGTTTATTTTTTACTCAAAAACGAGTTAAATCGATTGAAACAAACGAAATAACATCAATTTTAGATTGTTTATGTAATTTTTAGGCATTTTTTGACAAGGAAAACAACCATCTAATTTGGTAAATTTTTAGCAGAATTAAAAAAAAAATTAATAAACCAGTGGATTAAACGCTCTAAAAATTCAAAAACAACAAAATTCGGTACATTTTCGGCTTGTTTTCAACAAAACTGCAAAATAGTTGTGTTTCTAACTAAAAAAACGTACTAAAAGAGGCAAAAATGATGTACTTTTCGGCCGAACTTATTGATTTTTTAACCTTATTTGGTGAAATTTCATAAAAAACGAAAAATAGTGTCATTTTTTTGCAAATCAGACTAGCATAAAAATCGCTAGATTGGTGAAATTTCACCAGATCTGGCAACACTGTTGAGAACCAAAGTTCAAGACATGCGCAAATCCAGGACACTCCTACTTGACCTTGATCCTCCACGGCATTTCCTAACAGATATTACACACTTTTTCATTTCAAATGCGTCTTTTTTGCAAGTTTGTGTATAAATAAAACAAAGTGTGTGGAAATTTCAGTCTATTTATTGAAATAAAAATAAAATCACATGGAATTTTTGTCTTTATGATTATTTTTCACGTGTGTCTTCAACAGATATCTCTTGAATGTTTTATACTCGCACTTGGCACACTCGAAATACTTTATATCACTGGGTGCGTGTTTCCTCAAAATGTGATCCTTCAAACTCGCTTTCAATTTCGCTTTATACTCGCACTCCTCGCATTTGTACCACTCGATATCCTTATCAGCAGTGTGTCTTTGGATCACGTGCAATTTCAGGTGTATTTTCTGTTTGGCTTTATACCCGCAATGCTCACACAGGAGCAAATTCTGTTCTTCTTCCGCCGCATGTTGTTCGCGTTTGTGTCTCTTAAAATGCTCGCTGTAGCGGGTTTTATGGGGGCACTCGTCGCACCGATACCACTTGACAACCTCGTTGGTGTGCCTCCTCGAGACATGTGTCTCTAGAGTCTCCTCCGTCTTAAAACTCGACCTGCAGAATTTACACCGAATCTCCACCCTTTTCACCCTGGGGGTGTGTTGTTTGATCACGTGACGATTCAAATCGCTCTTGAACTTCCCCACGTAGAGACACAACTCGCATTGGTGCCATGTGATGGCCTCAGGGGGGGTGTGCTTCCGCAGGATGTGCGTTTTGAGGTAGTTCCGGTCCTTGGTCTTGAACTCGCATAAGTGGCAAGGGATCAATGTGGGGGCGTCGGGGGGCGGCAGTGCCGGGCGTTGCACGTGGTGGAGAGTCCGGGGGGGGACGCCCTCCGAGCAATAAAGTTTAATCTTTTTCTCTCCCGATTTATCCACTAGTTTCATCAACATCAAAACTGAGGTCTTGTCGGTGACTTTGCACCGACTTGTGTAAATGTGTTTCATGAGGATTAAACGGGAATAAGTCTCAAAATGGCAACTTTCACAAATGTAACAAACTGTGTCACTTTTTTGACGATTTATGGGGATTTTGGTCAAGGAGTGGGTCTTGAGTTGGGCTAAAAGGGGGGTTTTGCTGCAACACGAGAGGCATTTGTAGGGGTCGAGGAAGCCTTCAATACACTTAAACGGTTCCAAAACTTTACGTTTCTTGGAGTTTACTTTAAAAAATGTGGAAGTTGAGAAAGGGTGTCTTTGGGGGCGTCGAAGGTGTTCCGACCCAGGGGGGTGCAAATCGATATCCGCCATCTCACATTCTATTAACCAAACACACACAATTCGACTTAAACCGCACTTAAAACGGTTTATTTGAAATAATTGTTAGGTTATGTCACGTAGTTCGTATGTTTTGACGTTAACAAATTGAACTACCGATAAAAACACCAAATAATAATTAAACAACGGTAGTTTAGACCTAATAAATTATTACAACGGCTAAATATCCTCACACTTCAAATATCAAATTAATTTCCGTCCTTTGCAAGTCAGGATTAGTGCCCTCGTAGATCACACGAGTAGTTCGATTACACCTAACCTCAAAACAACATGTGTTTCTAAGTCGGGAAAAATGCCCCAAAACGCGGATTTCTACAACACGTGTCTCTCAGAATTCAAGGAGATTGTCCACAAACCTGCAAATTTCCTCCAGTGAGTCACTTTACCGATTTTTTGTCACACTAGTGTTATTTTTTTCTAGGATTAGTGACCCCCTTTGTGATCAACTCAAATCAAGTTTGAAAAAATGTTACGATTACGCGAAATCGGAACAGGTCACAAAAACGGACGCTTTGTCGGAATTAGGTGTCAAAAATTTCGATTTGGAGCAAATTTGGCAACAAATCGAGTTACAAAATGAGAGTTTAACCACACATTGTGTGACTTGTGTTAGCAGATTAGTCGCTGGGAAAAGCCGGCTTTTGTTTAATAATTTGCAAAAAAGCGAGATTGAGGATGACGGGGGCGAAATTGGGGAAAATTCAGACGCTTCCAACCCTAGTAGTGAGGATTTAAACGACGTGGAGAGCTCTGATGATGAAAATGAGACGACCGAAACGAGAGAACCCCCAAAACGGTCAATAGTCGACGATGATTTCTTCAAATTGGACGAAATGGAGCGATTTCTTCGCGAAGAAGAGAAGAAAGAAGGAGTTGATTCTGGGAACGATTCTGAATCCGAAGCAAGTGTTGATTTATTCGAGTCTGATTCTGGTGATTCAGAAGATGAAGCAAAGACGGCCAAATACAAGGATTTCTTCGTCCAAAATGAAGAAAAACCGTCGACTTTTGAATTGCGCCAGAAGCGTCTTGCTAAGAAAATTGAAGAAATTGAAGAAGAGGCAATTCAGGACAAGTCTTGGCAGTTGAAGGGCGAAATAACCGGTGAGAAACGGCCTCAAAACTCCCTTTTGGAGGAAGTGGTGGAGTTTGATATGACGACAAGGCCGCCCCCTGTCATGACCGAACAAACCACAATGCAATTGGAGGATATAATCAAAAGAAGAATCAAAGATAAAGTTTTCGATAGTGTGGAACGCAAGACAAAACCAGTTGAAAACTTGTTAGATTACAAAAAGAAAATTGTTTTGGATCAGGAAAAAAGCAAAGAGTCTTTGGCACAAATCTACGAAAAGGAGTTTCTTCAAGCACAAGAACCGGAAGATAAGGAAAAAGAAGAACCCGAACTCCACAAAGAAATCAACTCTTTAATGAGGAAATTATTCACTAAATTGGATTCTTTGAGCAATTTCCACTTTACCCCAAAACCTGCAGTCCCCGATTTGAAAATTATCAGTAATTTACCGGCGATCAGTGTGGAAGAAGTGGTACCAACTGCTGTAAGTGACGCCACATTGTTGGCACCTGAAGAAATTCAAAAGAAACCAAAAGGTGATTTCGTCGGGAAGAATGAAAGAACCACGACTGATAAAAAACGGGAACGGAGAAAAAAGAAATTGAAACAAAAAATTCACGCCAAAACGAAGAAGGAAACAGTGACAGGGAAAAATGTCAAAATGGTGGGTTTTGAAACGGTTAGGGTGTTTTGTGTTATCTAATTGGTTGCGCTGTTTCAGATGGCGGAAAAAGGGAAAAAGATCAAGTCGTCTAAGGAGTTTTTCACCCAATTGCAAGAACAAGTCCAATTACCCCAGATTAAGCGGAAAACGAGCCCAAATAATAATAAAAAGAGCGCAAAAAAATTAAAATTATAATTGAATAAATTGATTGTTTTTCTCATTCATTCAATTAGTAATAAATAATGATTGTTTCTGATAAGTGTTGATAAGCTTATCGTTGTGGAACAACATAACCTCACTTTTTTCTCGTTAAAGCCGTCGATAAAATGTGTTAATTTGAGTTTCGCCATGCATATGTCGTTTTGGTGGGATTACAAGCTCTCCGATTACCTGTTTCGGGGGCTGTCGTCGCACTCAATTGGGGGCCTTGTCGGCATGTGTCTCTGCGTGGCCTCCATGTCTTTCGCTTTTGAATTTCTGCGCTACTTGCAAGCCAAACAACGTCAGAAGGAGCTGATTCTCAGATCGGAGCAACTGAAAACGATTTGCCCCACTGAGACCTCGACGCTGCTCGATGGGGCCCCCGCGCCCCCAGGGGTCGCAATCACACCGATGCACAGGTTGTACCAATTGGAAATGTGAATTAAAACAAGACAGTTGTTTTAGAACGTTTCTATTTGTTTCGGAGATTGGGCTTTGGTTCTTTTTACAAAACTTGGGTTATATTTTGATGTTGTCTGTAATGTTGTACAATGGATGGTTGTTTGTCTCAGCTGTGGTGGGCGGAGGCTTGGGCTATTTCGTTTTCGGCCAAATGTTTATGAAGATTAATTTGCAAAACTGCCAGATTATCAGAGACACGTGGTGCATGCAAAAGTGCGGAGAGCCAGGTGAGTCGCAAGGTTTGAAAGCCAATTGAGCCCCTTAAGCCCCTTTCAGATCCCGAAACCCAGTCCAGCGATTCCTGAAACGCCCCTTCTAACCCCTGATTCAAATTATTTTGTAAAATGTTTATTTGTTGACAAAAAATTGAAAATATTGGAATTCCAATAAAAATACCCTAGCATACCAACATAAGATGTAAAATGCACTAGATTCCCACGTTTGATAAACTTGTCAAATTTGGTGAATTTGACATTTTAGGTTGGTAGCAAAAAGCACTAAATTCAAAATTACGCCCCCTTTATCTCCTAAACGATTTTTTTTCATTACTGATTGTTATCATAGTGCTAAGTCCATTTTTGGGGGGCCATAAATCAATTCTAATTTTTTTTAGAAAATCTTCCAGGAAGTAAGGATGGGGAATCCACCCCAGCGTTAGAGGCCGTCCCCGGAACCTCCACAACTGTCTTAAATTGTCACGAAGTGACAGCTAGCGTACACACTGAGTGTCACCCCCCAAATTAATCTGTGATTCAAACTATTTTGTCAAAGTTGAAGAAAATTTTATATTTGTTAAGTTTATTTGACAACAAGCATTGACCTTGAACCTTAAGCCAAGAAATTCCCTAACGTGCCAACCTAAAATGTAAAATACACTCGCAGAATTTAGTAAATTTGACATTTTGGGTTGGTAGCAGAAAGCACTAGATTCAAAATTACGCTCAATTTAATGGTAGCCGCCTTTATCCCTTAAACGAATCCTTTTCCTTTCTGATTGTCCTCATGGTCTCGATCGAATTATTGCTCTTGGCATGTTTTTGTACCGAGGGGTGCCCCACTCTCATAAAAGGGTTAGTTTGTTTCTCATTTGCGATGGTTGAAGGGACCTGAAACAGCCCTGTGACCCCAAACCGATCAAACCTAAGTCTAGTAATATTACAGTGGGTTCATGTCGCCCCCTTTTAGCCCTAGCCCACTCGATTCTTTCTAAAATATCGGGATTATCAGGCTCGACATGTTTTGCAAATTTCAGATTTTGTTCGGTATATTCGTGCCCACAAAACACCTAAAAATCAAAATTTTAAAAGCGATAAGTGTCATCAAGGGGGCACCTGTGTATTGTCGGGTAAATTCCCCAAGATATCAATGAGGGCTGTGTGCATTTGCTCCGCCGTCCCTTCGAAAAACCGGCCACACCCCGCGACGAATAGCGTGTCTCCGGTGAAGACAGCTGGGGGCTCCCCTGCCGCGTTCACATAATAGCAAATGTGCCCCGTGGTGTGACACGGGGTGGAGAGACACTCCACGTTGATGTCCCCGATCGAGAACTTGTCCCCGTGCTTGACCTGGTTTGTCAAAGCCCCGATTCGGTCATCGCCCCCGAAGACTTGTAGGGCGTTTTTTGATTTCTTGACGAGTTGTTCGTTGCCCCCGGCGTGGTCCCAGTGGTGATGCGTTGTGAGGACTTTGGTGAGGTTCACGTCCTCTTTTTCGACGGCTTCGAGGACTGTCTCGGGGGCTACGGGGTCCACGATGGCTGCTTGTTTGGTTTTCTCGTCCACGATCTGGAAATAGGGGGCTGAGGGCTGATAATGGGGCGCAGGGGGCTTACGAGGTACATATAGTTGTCGGAGAGGGCGGGGAGGATCACCACTTTCATTGTGTCGAGGAGGACGCTCGAGGGGCTGCTGTGAGAGTTGGTGCGGAATGCTGACACTGAGATGAAAAAAATTGAAATAATAACAAGGTTGACATAACCTCACATTTAATTTTTTGTATTTTTTCAAGAATCTTAGGTCTATTTTTATCGAAAGATAAGATAAAAGCAATTCTCGTTTATAGTCTCATCTGGTAAATTGATTTATAAGTCGTTTTGTAACTTTTTTTTAAAAACAAATCAATACCATAACCTCACTTTTCATCAAACCTTTTTTTTTTCAAATTATTTTATAAGAAATAAAAGTAAATAAGGGCATTTAGCCTTTTTTGTTCCATTTTACTTTCTTATTGTTATTTACTACGGTTACGGATTTTCCTACCTCTGAAATATGCAGCTGTGAGCCCTTGCAAAATTCTATTAGGTAAATAATTGCTTGCAAATTTAAACATTTCAAAAAGTTCAAATCATTCTCATAAATAAACGACGCATATCACTTGAATTAACAATCTAATAAGGAATTGTACTTTAATTAATGTTTGTTTAAAAAATGTTCACATAACCTTGAACTTTTTAATGTGATTATTTGTGTCCTTGAAATAACTTCCTTGAATTATTGATTTAAATTAAAGAGAAGAATTCTCTGTTGTGTTTGTGATAGAAATTGTACAAAAATGTGAATAAAAGTTAATTTTTATTTGTAAAATACAATTATTTTTTCATGTTATATTCTGACATCTCTGCTGCGTATTTCTCCTTAGACCTTTCATACATGTCCACATAAACCTGAAACAGACTTAATTAAGGCCAAAACGCCCCCCAATTGCACGCGACAACCTTCTTATCATTCCCTGATAACGATTTCCATTTAATTGCCAATTGTCTTGTTAACTCCTGTTTGGTCAGCTCGGCTTCGCCTGGTTTCAACTCAGCATTCAATTGTTCCATCAAAATCTGTCTCTGCTCTTGGCAAAACTGGAAAAACGGATTTGACGGTCTTTTCGGGGCTTTTGGGTCCTTTTCGCTTCTTGCACTTTTCCGTTTTGTTGGTTTTTTCGCCGGTTTGGGTCTCTCCACTTCTTCACACTTTTCCTCTTTGAGCTTGTCTTTCAGCATGAGAAATGCGACTGATTTTGAGTCTTCTTCTTCTTTGATAAGGTCTAGGTTAGGTATCACAGTCCAATCTTCGCTATAATTGTTCAACAGACGTTTTTTGAAGAATTTCACTTCTTTTTGACGTCGGTTAACGATTTTGTTCACCTCTTGGATCCTGAAAGTGGATTTTTAGGACACAAATCGATTTTGAAACAGGAACCTAACCTAAAAACTAATATTTCGTTGGATTTCTGTAATTGGGCACATTCCTCCAAAAGGAGTTTGTATTTTTTGTAGTAAATGTCGTTTTCGTAGCTTTCGGTATAAACAGCGTCATTTTCAGACTCATCTGACATCATTTTTCGAGCTAAAATCGCTGTTTTTTTAGGTTATGTTTCCTCAACTGTCATTTATGAAAAATCAAGTAAAATACGAAATTTATTAATTGCATTACAAAAGGCGCTAAACTAGTCATGAATAAACGTAATTTATTTTGTTAAGGCTTCCTCAAGAGTCTGACTGGTCATTTTCTAAGCTAAAATCACTTTTTCTTAGGTTATATTTACTCAACTGTCATTGGTTGGAATATGAAATTTATTCATTTAATTACAAAAAACGCTAAATCAATCATCAGAAAACTTTATTTTTTTGTTGGGGGGCTCCTCGGAGCCACTGTCTTTATAATGTATTCCATGCTTAATGAATCGTCCCGCAGCCCCTCGGTCGATTCTAGGTCTCAAGACTTGTCTCTCATGGGCCTGAAACACCTCAGATCGATACCATAAACCCAAAAAAATGAAACTCACCTCTTTTGCCTTCACCATGTACTGTTTGACCCGATTTAGTTGATTTTTTATTTCACTTTTTGTGGGGTCTTCACCTCTTGTCTTCATATACAACCAAAATAATGTGTTTAATGTATAAGCCATAAATAAGTCGTAATCGACTGTCTCTTTCATGGTTAATTTGGCGTAAATATCGGGACTTGAGGACATTTCTAAAAAAATTTCGATTTTTTCAACGCTTGAGTGGAAATTGCACAGTTTGGCTTGGATGGCTTTGTCTTCAGATAAGTCGCCAAAATCCATCACTAAATAAAAAAAAACTTAAAATACGGACGTAATTATCAAAATTGACAATTCAGAGTTGTCAAAAACTAACCTCAAAAAACATCAAAATGCGTGCGCAAAGCAGTGTCGCCAACTGTATCCAACCAAAAAAATTTATAAAAATTTTCCAAAAATCTCCAAAATGTTTTCATTCCAAGTAAAGATAAAAAATGAAACCAAACAAATAAAAAATATGTAAGAAAACAGCAGATAAAAAAATCTTCGATGACAAGATATCACATCATTGCAGACATATTAAATTTCTTAAAAAGTTACCAGTAGTTGCAAAAAGTCTCTAATTTTGCTTTAAAACTAGTGACAAATTTTCCAGGTTGGCAACACTGGCGAATGGTTTATTGCATTTCCTGTGAATTTAAAATTCCGGATTTTTAACTTTGGCCCAGCTTTTTTCAGAAATGACAAAATTTTCAGTTTTCTTTATAAAAAGAAAAAAAACGTAGTAAATGGTGAAAAAATTCTCGAGTTTTGAATGAATTTCTTTACGTCACAGCAATGTGAATAATTTGAAAAGCATTTTGATGAGATTAGCTTTTAATTAAATGCTCGATTTGTGTTGACTGATCCTAAAAACCGGATGAATGAATTGCGAGCTGGGTTAAAAATAACCTTCTGGTAAAATACGACGTTCATAAAATGGCAAAATGAGGTTTACGTTCGCAGAAAGTTAAATATAAAGCAAAAAATGGTTCGAATTTGAAAACATTAAATTGGGTGCTTTAAGAGTTTAGTGCATTTTAGTTTTTTCAGGTTTGTAGCATTTAGTATTTTTTGTCGATTTTGCCATTTCCTCAATTCAAGCCGCACCACGTCGTTTAAAAATAGCTCTCTTCTATTTAAAATCGATCAACCTGTGACCGTGAAACGCCAATCCCTCTCTCTCTCTCACTCTTTCGCTACCCTCATTGTCTCCAACAAGGACACCGAATCCCATCGTGAGAGAGACAAAGCTATTGTACCCACCACCTTATTAAGCTCGGAATGCTTGCGCACCGGGCCTAAGCCTACTTAACGCGCTCGCGCCTCAAACCTAACCTCATTCTTCGTAGTAAACAAGAGAGTACCACCACGGCACTCTGCGATACGCCACCGACCCTGACTATTGATAGCGAATCGCATAACTGACGGGTTATTGGGACGACAGTGTTGCCAACCATACACACACACACTGACTCACGCCGGGATTATTTCATATGTGGGCTATTTTAAAAATAAAATGCAATTTACGCGCTTCGAAATTACAAATTTCTGACACGAGTTTTATTTAATAAACATCTGGTTTTCATCATCTGGGGACATTATTCATTTAAGGAGGGGTTTCACCGATTTGATCACTAGCGAACCGATTTTCTTTTGTTCTTGGAGCGAGGCCATGATACAAATAGTTGGCGGGGTCTCTAGCACAAAAGCGTGAACATTAAATTTTTCTCTATTTCTGAATTATCATTTTTTTTAATGATACTAAAAGGTTAAATTTGTGGTTTTCGATTTTGAAAATTTAAATTTAAACCAGGTTTAATGCCAATTAACTAATCGTTCGAGTAGCACCAATGCGGAACGACGGATGTTTAAAATAATATTTTTCACCTGAGCTAAAAGTAACGACAAGGAGGTGTCTAATGGTAAACAATTACGGGTTTAGGTGACTCAAATGAGGCTAGGTTAAGATTTTTTAAACTTTAATTTTTTCAAATTTATTTATTTTTTCTTTAAATTAATTGATAGAACAAAACTTTTTTGTTTTTCGAGTAAAGTTACATAAGAGTTTAGTGTTTCAACATTTTATAACTTTAAATTGAGGGAAAAACTTGACACATCTGTGGTAAATCTGTGTTCAACTAAATTTCTGATTTAAGTGGGCTGTGACTTTGGCAAATGTGATAAAAAATCTATTGGCAACTGTCAATTATTATTCACTATAAAATTAATACGTTTGTACTTGATAATCAATATTACCAAATTAAGATTCAAAACGACAAAATTCATAATTATAGAGCGTTTCAAAACGATTGACATCTCGGTAGGTCATAGAAATTTAAATCTAAGGTGGCAACATTGCTACTTCATAACTTGTTACATTTGACGTTTTTGCGCATTTTCTCTCCCATTTTTTTAATATTCTATTCATTGTTCAATATTCATCAAAACTTTAACTAAAATAAGCGTCTTTTGGGCAAATAGGTTATGTCATTTTTTTGACAGACTTCAACTGAAATGTCATTTTTTATGAAGTATCGTGATCTAAAGAATGTTCACACTAGTAACTTTTTTGGCACTAAAATTAATGTCTGATTTACATTCTCAACGCCTACCGAGATGTCAATCATTTTAAAACGTTCTATATTTAGAGTTACTCCACATTATTCAATGTTGCCAACTTAATTTCAGAGTCATAGGCTACTGATCGGAGAAATAGAAAAAAAACTAGCTAAAATATTTCTTTGGCACCACTCAATGTCAAATTGAACCGGAAATCGTGTGACAGTACCGCTCATTTTGTTAAAAAAATTGTTTTTATATAAATATGTCAGAATTTGACATTTGAACACATTTGAAGTATAGGCGTTTTTTGAAAACTAATTTATGATTTTAGAGATAAATGTGACAAAATTCTGTTGGTAACTCTGAATTACTAGCATTAGTAACAAATAACAATTGACTATAAAATTTTGACGTTTGTATTTGACAATCAATGTTGTCAAATTAAGATTTTACACAACAAAATTTATATGTAATTATTTACAGTCACTTCACATTATTCAATGTTTGCCAACTTAATTTCAGAGTCACAGACTACTTTGATCGAAAAAATAATAGAAAAATTAGGCATCACTCTTGCCAAAATATTTTTTTGGCACTACTCATAGTCAAATTGAGTTGGAAATCGTGTAACATGACAGCTCATTTATGAATAAAATCATTTTTGTTTGAAAAATTGTATTTTTTTTATAATAAATTATTCCTTCTAAAATTTGACATTTGAGCAATAGGTGTTTTACAATGACTAATTTATAATTTTAGAGACAAATGGGAAAAAAATCTATTGGCAACATTGAATTAGTAACGAATGACAATTGACTATAAAATTGTGAAGTTTGTATTTGACAATCAATGTTGCCAAATTAAAATTCAAGTTTCTGGCCTACTTGTCAACAAAATTCACAATAATTGTTTGTGTTGCCAACTTAATTTCAGAGTCACAGGCTACTTTGATCGGAGAAGCAAAATTGGACAAAACTCATAGTCAAATTGAGTCTATTTTTTAATAAAAAAACATTTTTTGTCATAAAAATTGTATTTTTATACTTAATTATGCCAGAATTTGGCGTTTCAACAAGGCAGTAACAAATTTATGAGCTAAACTAAAATGATCACGTTATAATTTTGATTTTTTTCTGTGTTAAAAAATCAAAGAAAAGATTGGCAAACATCCAAGAAAATTTCATTTCTTGTCATAAATATGATTTAATGGATTGCGTATTGAAGTGTGCGAGTGCGTCGTTAAATCCTCTCATATTCAAAAAAAAAATTGGTGATTAATTCGAATTTTTTACAATTTGTTTGTGAGAAAATTAATAATCCGTCTCGATCGGTAAATATTTACGAATTTTTGTTTATGATAAATGCCTCGTAAGCGTCGTTATTTTTGGATGAAATCGAAGAAGTGACAACGTTGCAATTCTTTGGGCGTGCTGCAGCAGGAAAAGCTCGCCAAAAAGCAAAATTTACAGATTTACGTGTCGGATTAGACATCACGACCACTCATAACACACTCATCATTTTAAATTGATTATTATGTCGGGAGGAAAGTGGCTATTTTTGGCACTCTGACCGAAAAAAAAACGGTTTTATTTAGTGAGGGAATGGAGTTGGTTTATTGGAGGATCACTATTTCGAGGTGTTTATCCTAAATGAGTTTACGTGTTTTAAGTTCATGAAACGAAAATGATTACTGAATTTTTTTCTATTAATTTACAAAGCAACAGAAGAGATTTGGCACTGAAACTGTCTTGGAATAATCTGGAAAAAATGTGGTTTCAAACAAGATGCCTATTGATGATTTGAACAATTACGAATTTAGAACTTTTAAATGGCTTCGAGGTGTTGTGTCAACGTCGAGTCATTTTTTTATTGACTTTAAAAAATTGTTTTGGAGCGGTTTCAAACGTCGAATTTTTTCTTATTGAGTAACAGAGAAAGCAAACATTTAGTAGTTACAATTTAACATTGAATTTTGACGAAATAAATCCTAAAATTAATTAATTACAGTGTCATTATAGAAAATATTTTTACAAAAATAAAATTACAATTTTTTTTATATTTCTTGTGTATATATTTTTATTTGAATAAAATGGACTAATCTTTTGTTTGTTTTATTTCTGCTCTTAACTCTCTTAAATATTCATAATAGTCCATTTGTGGCAGAATAAATAAATAAAAATCATCAAAAAATTAGGAAGAAATGTGAAAAAATCTCGAAATTTCTACTAAAGATCAAAAATGCAGCGAAAATAGAGCATCACAGATTCGTACAATGCTTATTCTAAGCCACCATGTCCTACCTACAATCATCCGCTCACGCTTAAAATAAACTAGGAGTATATTTTAGATGAGCAAATTAAGTTCATAAACGTTTTCTCTCGTTTTGGAAGCTTCACATGAAAATTTAGTTACTGAAAAAAACTGTAAAACTAGAAATTTAAAATTGAAAAATGCGAAATTGAGGGGTAGAAGTACCAACATAAAAAAAACATAACTGTTTGGAAGCCGGTTTATGACCTAATTCCGCCTGCTCTAATTAGGCTTCCTGTTAGGAGAAAAAAATATTTTTGCAATGTTGTTAATACCATTTGAAATTAAAAGTCAAATTTATCAAAATAAAGCAGAAAATTGCTAAATTAGATCTAAAAGGTCTTATTTTCACTTATTTCAAAGTTTAAAGCATTTTTCATAAGTATTTTGCTGTAACAGAGCAAAAATTGCAAAAATGACTTCAAAATGCAGGTCCAAAAAACAATGTTTTAAAGATTTTCTTATCAAGAAACTAAATAAATTCAACAGATTTTGCAAAACAGAGCAAAAAATCGTAAAATGATGAACTCTGAAAACCGTTTTTATAACAGAAGGAGCATTTTTCATATAGAAAGTAACTAAATTCCTGCGATTTTTCAACAAGACAAAAAATTACAAAATTACTTAGTGCTGCTCTTGATTTTGCTTATTTTAAGAAATTTAGATTGTTTTATCAAGAAATACACAAAATTCAAAAAATTTTGCTAAAGCAACACAAACAACAATTGTTCCAAAATGCGATATTTTCTATATAATTGTAATAACGTTTTTCTCTGAAAAATAAAAAAAAATGGAAAAAAGTGGTTACAAAAGTAAAAAAAAATGCCGGTAGGTTTAAAATCTTTTTAGTGTTTCTTTTTTAAGGGTACTTCTTATGTTGCCGGTAATATACCTACGTTCTTTTATAAAATACGTCGTCAATCACATCGTATTGTATAAATAAATATATAAAATTGGCATTTTGTCAATTTTGACAAATATCTTATAATAATTTCTGAATTTAGTAAAATTTCTGATCCAATATTGGAATTTTTTTAACACAACACAAGTTTTATAGTTTAAAACCCTTGTTATATTATATGTAGAAATGTGATACAAAATTTTACTTGATGTTTTGAAATTTTATGGTAAAAAAGGTCTCATGCTTTTATGCTATGCCCCTCTCATGCTCATGCTCTCTTATTATGCACTTTTAGATTTCCTTAAAGTGCATTTTGATCAATTTTAATGTTTTTGACAAAATTTTTGTCGATTTGTAGCTAATAACTTTGAAATTATGACCTGTCTTATGTTTGGTATCGTTGGAAAGCACTTTTAATTTTCTAAAAAAAGATCAAAGTCCTGCGAGAAACAGTTATCGAAAAAATTGTTGATAAAATAAAAAATATTCAAGACATACAGGGTATCCCAAGCAAAACTTTCGGGTCTAATATCTCTGTTATTTGTTAACGGATTTTTATGACATTAAAAATGCAGATAATTTAAAAGATGGAGATTTAATTAGTATTAGTAAAATTATCTCAATATAAAAAAATAATTTTAACATACATATTTTTTCAATTAAAAATTTGTAAATTGTTTATAAAACTCTTGTTGTCTTAATAGCTACATTTTTCACCGCTAAACTAAATAAATTGTACCAAAACGAAGAAGAAAATTACAGAATTGTTGTCTTGGCGCGTTTTTACCAAGAATTGAAAAATATTTAGAATTCAGAATTTGTGCTGTAAAAAAAAAGTGCAAAATTCGAACTCTCATAACTTTTTACAGAGAGCATTTTTTTAACATTTTTTCCATGCTTCTGGTATCTTACTTTACATGTTGGGCGCGAGTTCTGGTGCACGCTGTATTATCCCAGTATTTTTTGAATATAATTTGTTGTTTTCGTTTTCTTATCATTTTTGCTTTAATTTTTACAAGTCTCACAAAAATGTGAACTCGTTCCTAATAAAATGTTTTTTTTTGTTTTTCTTTAAAATTACGAAGTTTATATTATTTTATTCTGATTAGACAAAGAATAATAAAGAATTTTGATTTTTTTCAAAATTTAGAGCTAAGTTATTTATCTTATTTCACGTTTTTTATTTTCTTTGTTATTGAAAAAATCGCAACCTAGAACGGCCACCTATGACTAAATCGACCGAAAAACTTCTATTTTCAGGAGCGACTTTCACACAAACATTTTATAGATCAATTTTAGCAAATAAAAAAATTGTCTTCCATGTGTTACATATGTTGTTTTTTCTCTTACTCCATGTGCGTTTCCCCAACGTCCTTGGCGTTCCCTCCTCGATGGAGGAAATGAATGAACCGCTCGCCAAGCTCCGAATGCGCTGATTTGGGTGAACGCACCCTAGTTCCCCCCCAATAGGCCAAAAACAGCCATCCCCGCCGTCCCCCTGATCATTATTTCTAGCCCATCTAGTCGCCGTATCCCGACTCCCCGTGCCTAAAAAGGTAGACTGACCAGCTTGTAACGCGATTGGCGATTGGTGCCCCCCATCCACCAATCCCGTCTTTCGACACATTTCAGGATCTGGTTGCTCACATTTATATCTTGTGTCAGAGGCATTTCCTCGTCCAGAACGCCTTTCGAACGTAAGTGAGCCACAGGGGCCCCCAGTGTGTCGTTAGCCCCCTTATCAAGGACTGAGTGAAGTGTGCTTGGTGCATTGTGACAAGTGATGGGGTTTCCACCCCCGGGGGTTGCCACACCACTCCCGGATTGGGGATTGTTGAGCTGTTATGCAATATTCCGGTTATGTGTTGGCAGCCTGCTTGATACTAATTTAGTTTGCCGATATTTTTGGAACGGATATATCGGGACGAGGATTTTTAAGTTGTCCACATGCCATAAATGGGAAACAAACCAAAAATTTACACACAATGTTTTTTCTTATTTCCAAATTGTGCATTTTATTGGGAGCACGTGGTGAATACATTGCTTTTTCTACTTAATTGTTATAAATTATTTTTGTAAATTCCAATCGATGACCTTGAAAAAGTTACTCGATGCCATTTTTATAACAATCTATTTCTATTTGTCGTTTGTTCTCATTTATTTGGCAACAAAACCAAGAAATAGTTTCGGGCTTGGTAAAAATAGGTGACATATTATTTGGGTCATTACTTAATTTCATTCTTCCAAAATTAGATGCTTGTTAGATAATGAAACGAACTTTTTGGGATTATAGAATTTTTGGGATGAGATGAAAATAACAAAATACAAGCATCTAAAATTACATTAGAAAAGTTCTTATCTAGTTTCAATTTTTCGAATAAAAGTAATAATAATAAAACAATTAAATTGTAAAAAATAATAGTAAATACAAAATAAAATTTTAATACTTCTGAATGGAGTAAATAAGATGGTAATAGTAATTATGCATAGGGAAGACAAAATTTTCTTATTATTTCATTTTTTTTTTA